TCAGTAATTTTTTGTGTTTGCAACCTGTGTTGGTTTGACCAAACAACTAATGCTGTCTTTTTTTTTGTGGTGAGGACGTCTTGTTAATTCTCAATCACATGATGAGGAAACACACAAGTCTCCAAACCACCAAAAGAAATGCATTTTAAGAGGAGGAAACAGCTGTCTTATGCTGGTGTTTTGATGGTGTAATTGCACTTGAAAGTATATTTTATTAATAGCTCACACATGCTCTACAAATCATTCATTCACCAATCACAAGGCACTTCAGTTGACTTTTATTGCATAAGAAGGCTCTGTAACCATCTCTCTTCTTCTCTCGTGTTGTCTTTCTTCCCTGCCCTCTTTCCTCCTCTGCCCTCCCGCTCTCTTTCCTTTTCCTCTGTCTTTCCTCCTCCACTCCTCCTCTTCTCTTTCCCTGTGGGGTTTCTCCAACTGTCATGCAGTAGTGTGAGCATGAGGGGAGATGATCTATGGGCTTCTACACTGGAGCAATTAGCCAAAAGAAATTCAGAATGGAGAGAAAGATACAGTAGAGAAATGGGAGGTAATGAATGGGTTGAGGCAGAGGAGAGAGGATCCAGAGTTTAAAAAAAAGAAACAAAAAGAATGAGACAAAGGGGGAGGTGGTGGAAGGATAGAAAATGGTGAGATTAAATCTGAAAATATCTCAAAAGGAGAGGTGATTCAGATTTTTCCAATAGCAGAGATTCAGGTTTCAGAGGAAAGATAGTAAAGGTAGACAGATGATGCTCTTGTAGAGATGGTGGGAAGGAAGGTGAACGTGTGCAAAGAGTGAAGGAAATAAATGGATTGGGGAAAAGAGGGATAGACTGGTGGAATTCCAAGGGCAGAGAGGAGAGGAAGAGTAATTAGGAAGAGTAATTAGGCAGAGATATGCCAAAAGGTAAGGACATAAAGAACAGCTCCGAGTGGAGGTTGATAGGGGAGGCAGGGAAGGGAAGGAGGGATAGGGGAAAGGACAGTGGGAGTGATTGAGAGAAAAGGGAGGGATTGAAAGAAAGTAGCAAATGTATATTAAAGGGTGCCGGGAGGCAAGAAGGGGGGCGTAATGCTTGTGCATTAGCAAAGGAGGGAGAGAAGGAACCAGGGAAAGTAGGACAGTAGGAGAGAGGAGTAGAAAAGAAAGGTAGAGAAAAGGAAAGGTGTTCAAGAAGGTCAAGAAAATGGTAATCCTGTTCTGGGTCAGCCTTTTCTGCTGAGATTGTCAAATGGCAAATTTGTTTATTAAACAATTCGTAAAACTCCTGAAAACTTGGTTTTAAGCATTTTCTTTATAGCATTAAATATGTATGACTAAATAAATACCCGTTGAAGTTAAAGTTTAAAGAAAGCATCTGTATGTGGTATTTTTTAACAGAGCTAAGCTTCATTAGGACTGTGTAGCTGTGGTTTTATCTAATTTGATTGGCAGCGGCTTGGCAACATAAGCAACACCATAGTTTTCCTTGCGTTCTGATTTAAATGTTGCTACGTCCTAGAAGTAAGTGACCACATGAGAAGGATGTTCTCTACAAGGTCACAAGTATTACAACATCATCCGTGACGCGTCCTGTACAAGATCTTCAGCGTCTGCGTATTCACTCCTTATTGTAAAACAACAAGCTTTCAGGTGAGCACAATGTATTTTTTCTGTAAGTCCATTTATGCAGTCAGCATACATTTGATAAGTGGTCCAATCTACATCACAATCCAAGATATATAAGCTATAACATCACCTTGCCTCTACACGCACACATACTGTACTCTCAAACAATATGCAACATATCTGTCAGTGCTATCCAACCAAAGTAATCTACTGTCGAATACAGTATCGTGTGTATATCACTGTAAAAATTCATTTTCTGTCAGCGCCATGCTCTCCTGCTCTGGGAGATGCCACCAGACAGGCTGCAGGCCTTTGCTCCAGCTCCCTGAGAGACCAGCAGTCCTGTCGGTCTGACTCCTGCTTACCCCGAGCCTGAGGGGTGTCACGTCTGACAGCCGGTCCCAATGCTGAGACCCGCTCTGACCATCTGTCTGGGCTAAGCAGTCAGAGTATTACAGCTGACAGGACATTCTCGTTGTGTTTTTCTCTTTCATGAACGGGTATCACTGTCACTGCATTTTATTTATCTATGTTAGTGACTATGATTCCAAAAAAACTCTGAAAGCATAATTCTAGTTTATGGCAACTTAGGTTTGGTCATCATCATTCATGTTGGTAACAGTACGATTGTACTAACCTGTTAACTGTTGAAATGTGAGAAGCCACTAAAAAGGAGTCAGATGGCACAAGAAACATGAGTAGTGAGATGATCAGATATTAAATAAACCTCCAGGTCAGCCAAATTATTTGGAAGAGAAAATTGAGGTGATCTGTAAAGTACTTACCCAAACTGACCCAAAACTCCAGTTAGCCAAACTTACCCAAGCTTTGATAAATCAAAATTATCCTCACTATTATGTCTCTCCAGTTCCACATTCCTGAAAGTGACATGAAACACAATTTCTAGTGAGTGCCAGCAAGTGTGCACGAGCAATTGTATGGGATTACAAAAAGGAACATGTTGCTCACTCCTCTAGAGGGACACATAAAAGGGATTTGTTCCCTGCCATTGTATTCTCAATTCAAATCTAAGGTGGTTTCCTTCAGCAAAGCCTGACGTACAACACAAAACAATTAAACACAAGGGTTGGTGGAATAGGAAGGAAGGAGGAATTATTGATGCAGAAAATTGATTTCTATAATGAAATGTAATTGAAACAAGTTGCTTTGAAGGATGTCTCAAGCAATGATTATAAACAAGCTCACGTCGTGTGTTTGTCTACATGAGTGTGTGGCTTAATGTGTGCGTGACTCATTTATTCACTGATCAAAATGTATTGGGAATAATTTGGTAATGCTACATGTACCTTTAATTGTATGTGTGTGTGGTTTGAGACTTAGCGAGTGAGTTTGAGCAGGTTTGACTGCTTATCAAATTACAGCAGTGCACACACAAATATACACACACCTACTGTAACGCACACACACACACACACGACAGAATCAGCCACAGTAGTCTGCTGTCTTGTATAATGGGCATTGTACTGTAAACATTAGCTGTCTATCAGCACAGCTCAGCATCAGCCTGCGCTACATTGGCACTGTGGTTATTTGTTTGTGTGGATGTGTGTGTGTGTTTGTGCGCCACAATAGATGAATTCAGGTATAAACAGCTGGTCCTCTTCAACTGGGTATTTAGAGCTAGACACAAATAGGCTAATTAATTGTGATAGACTTCAGCACTGATGTGATTCTGTTTTGACTGTCATCGCTCCAGCATATTCCCCGCTGATTCCCCAGCGCCTGCTTGTTCTCTCACTCTTTTCTTTCTCTTTAACACATAACCTCGCTCTACTGCAACTCTCACTAAAAGTATTATGAATCCAGGGTCAGTTTCTTGACACCAGGGAATGAGTTTTGAGAGTACGATTCCATTGCTCTTCAGCCTGCAGATAAATCAGTCATTTATTGAGGTAAATGACCTTCATGGTGCAGCCCACACAGGCCTTCATCTACATGAGCTGTGGATCCCATCAGCCTTTGTATCCACGTGTTGGAAGTCACTATTTAGCCCCTGTGGTGAGGGAAAGTGATTCAGTGAAACAGCCAGTGGGGCACTCCTTGACAGTTGAATTTGTTTCCATTTTTATTATCTGAAGTTTCAAAAGTGGTAGTGGGAGCTGAGAGGTTAAAGCAGTGGTCTCACAACCAGAGTGTTGGAAGTACAATGTCCTAGATGAGCTTGCTAAATTTTTAGTTGAGAACTGCAGTCATAATGTCCAGCTTCTATGTTAATGAAAAGAATCGTTAACGTTGCTTTCATCAAAATTATTATTAACATTATATAATAACAATATATGATAACATTGGATCACATGACTACATTTCTCATGCTGACCAAGCCAACTTTCCCTTAGCTTCATGGAGTGTTTTAGTGTCTGTCATCTAATTCTTTTTGGTTTTACTGCAAATTTACAGTTTGGTTCACTCTCATCAACTTCGTTCTACCTTTGAAGAGATTCCAGGCAGCAGTTTTCAGCTAAAAAGCTCTGATAAACCCACTATCTGCTCAGCACAAAGACAAAGGTGGCATATAGTTAGTGAACATAGTGGAGCATTTAGCAGCTAAAAAGACAGATATTTATCTCAGGAGTTAGTGGAGAACAAAACCGAGTTAAAAGAGAGTGAATATTGGACTTGAAATTTGCCAGATGACCAGAAACACAACTCTAAATAAATGTTACTGTTGCTCCTTGTCTGCTGGGTGTGAAAATATGCAACTATTAGCTAATATGTTAGTCAATGATATACATATATACATTATATGGTGTGTTTACAGCTTGTTGTGCTGATCCCAAGTGGCCAAGAAAGATAGCAGGTTTCACGCTTAGTTAGTTGAAGTTTAAAAACTTGGTAATGTTAATTAGGCTACTATTACCAGTGTTAATTAATGATATTTATACTTTGCTTTTTAGACATTTACAGTGCTATGGATCTGTGGTTGTCAAGGGATTGGTATACCTCCAGGAATTCTTGAAGGAGCAAAATAATGAATAGTTTAAAACTATAATTTGGTCTGTGGGGAGTTTTAATATTTTACCCTCCTGCCTAGAGTCAGAAAAACACATTGGATGTTATTTATGTCACTAGATTCAATTTGAAGATATGTTAAACACCCTTTTGGGAAGTTAAACAGTGTATTTCCTTTCTTTTAAGAGGAGCTGGGGATTGAGCTAAGCTAGGTTTAACTCGCTCCTCATTATTCCTTTAAACTCTATACAGGGACATCAAAAAGACATCAATGAGTTTGTCTAAGTCTGGGTAAGCAGGAAAAGTAAAATCCTTCTACCATAACTCCAACCCCCTAAAACATTGAGATGTGTCATCGAATATCATTACCTTACCTCCTTGTCCCCTTCTCACCTTACTCTTCCCGCCTTTTCTCCTGCAGACAGCAACTTCATCCTGGCCAATGCTCAGGTGTCGCAGGGCTTTCCCATCGTCTACTGCTCTGATGGCTTCTGTGAGCTTACAGGCTTCTCCAGGACCGAGGTCATGCAGAAGAGCTGTGCCTGTAAGTTCCTTTATGGGCCAGAGACCAGCGAAAGCATCATCCTCAGCATTGACGACGCCCTGGAGGAGCGCAAGGAGTTTAAAGATGAAATCATGTTCTACAAAAAGACAGGTAAGTAGTGGAAAGCCACTTTTGTTTTTACTTGTGTCTGAGCTGTTTTAGGAGTTTAAATCAAGGCAAGTAGACAAGCACAGAAAGCCATTAGAGAGTGCACAGATTGTGTTGCCTGAACATTTCCATAAATGGAGGGCAGATTTCTGATGCTATTTCTGTAGAAGCCACATTTAAATTGACATAGATGGACCCGTGGATAGATGGAGTAATGACTGGACTAATGGATGTATAACTTTTTTATTGGCCCATTCTCATTAAAAGGTGATTAAGCAAAGCAATCAGTCACAAAGTCCCCCAGTTATTATTTAACAGTGAGAAACATCAAACTTTCATAGTTATCAACTAGTGACTCCTTAACCCTGTCTTCTTCGATTACACTGAGCCCAATAGCTAGGCCTGGTGGTGTGGTTTGTTGTGTGCCTCGCTGATTAGCCAGCTGGCCAGTGAAGAAAATGGAGTCGAAAATAATGAGCACATCTAGGCATCAGTGGATACATGCTTGCTGTGATGTGAGATGGTGCCATGTGCCCTTGCATAGTTATTGCAGTTTTTTTCAGTTCTTTACTTTAATGCTTCCTGATCAGTTATGTGAATCTACAACTTTTTATTTTTTAAATTAATTCTGGCAGCACTTGCGTTTGGTGGTGAATTTTTCTGTAGCAGCTCTGTCACAAATCAAGATAAATCACTTGTTTGTTATATCATTTGGACAGAATGAAAAGATTATCCCTGCCTATTAAAGTACTGTGACAGCCACAGATACCCGATCTTTTTAATTTTTTGTGTTAGAGCATTTTATTTTTTGATTGCTGACGGGATGTAAAGAATTTCAACAACAACAAAAAAAATGCTTCTGAAATAAATTGCTTACCCTAGCTCAGAAAACACTAAAAACTTCCATGACATCTGGGCACATTTCTCGCCTGATAATCAGACTGAATTGCCATTTTCTTTTACTGTATTCATTTATCATGACTCCATGTTCATGTTTGCTTATTCTTTGTTGGGAGGGGATTTATTAAGATTTGTTTCACCCTAACCACTTAGTGGCAATTGATGTATATATCTGGCTGACGTTACTTTCTGTTTCAGACACACTGAAGTGGTAGAGGTTGCTACAAGCAGTTTACTCAACGGTTTTCACAATGATTAAAGTAAAATATCAATTTCAGAGTTGTTCTTAATGTAGCTATAGGTAGCTAGCTAGCTCATGGAACCCACTCTTATTCCTACCTATTAAGTTCAATTGCATTTCTATTCGGGGGAAAAGCTGCTAATAAGCAACACTAGACCTATTGCACAACAACAAATGGGAGATGTGGGCAGAGGAAACAGCAACTAAATGGACCTTGTGGTGAGATGGTTATGTCAACAAGTGTAAGGATGGTTTATGATACTGTATGGACTTCTAAAAATGACTCATACCAAGCAGGTAGCTTGGCATGTGCATGTGTCAGTTGTGCCACCTTCCTATAATTTTAAGCAGATTTTGTAGATGACTCACTGCAGTTTGTATAGACACAGCTTTGCTAATACCATAACAGATGTGATTGTCTACACCACTCTGTGTCTTGCTTTGTTATCTTTCCTGTCACACCCCTCAATCTCTTTTTCCCTTCTGTTCTCTTACAGCTTCTATTGTTGCATTTAATTTTACCATCAAATTTCTTTTCTCCCACCTCTTTTCTACATTTCCACGCAGTACTGTTTGTGCCCGTTTGTCTGTCTGTCTTCCATGCTTATCTTGCTTTTTTCTTTCCCTGCCTCAGCCGTTTTATGTTGTCTCATCCCTATCTTTCTGTCTGTCACAGCAGAGTCCTGAACGTAAACGTAGCTGATTGACTCAGTTTATCCTCCGTCTGTCAGCCTGAGTGGAGAGAAAGCTGCATGTTCGCAATCAGAACGCTCGTTCTCTCACTGTGTGCTTGATAGTGCTGCCTTGTCTCGCATGCATGCAGATATTCATACACACACATACACACACACGCATAGACAAAAACACTGTGATTGAGTCATCACCAGGCAAGGAATATTTAGTGAGTGGGAGTGATGGGAGGGAACTCCGTGGGAAATCCCTCTTAATCAGCAGTTCATTTCTAGTCACTGAACAGAGAACAAGGAAAGGTAGACCCTTTAAGTTTGACAAAATCTGTGCTACACAAGAAAATTTCACATCAAATAAAAACTCCATTAAATAATTAAACTATCAAAGAGGAAAATGTAAAACGTGAAAAATACCTGTATGTCTAATAAAGCTACCAGCGACACAATATACCAGGGACATTGTCATGCATATGCCACAGCATGATGTGGATTAGACTGAATTTGGTGTGATTAATTAATTAACAATAACAAGACTAAAACTCCTGACACTGTGATGCTGAACATAATTTTTGCCCTTATTATGTGAAGATTCTTTAAGACAGGGATTTTCAAAGTCTATATTGTCTAAGACTACTGTATGACATTACTCCAGACTACACTAAAAAGTTTTTTTTAAAGTCTGTCCTGAGGCATTTATTGGATTCTGACTCTGGCAAAGTAGGGAAAACTTCCCCTCATTAACCAAATCACACACATTTAGTCTCATGTAATCTCTTTTTGATAACTAATGTAATAACTTTTCAGTTTCATCCACTGAGCCTCCCCTAAAACAGTTCGGAGCCCTCTGCTATAAGAAATTCAAAGTTGGTGTTAGAGCAAAGGCCATGTTGTGCCTAAACTGAAAAGGTTTTTCCGGTACAGTTGCCCATTTATAACATTTCAGACTTGTTAGGCTCAGGCCAGTGTTTTATGACGTGGCACAGGGGATTTTACTGTGTCCCAATTCACCTTACCTTCAGCAAAACAGTGCAGTGTGATAGTGTAATATGCTACCACTTAGCTTGTTAGTACATCAGCGTTAGCAAGTTAGTGCTCATGTTAGTAATACATGACAAGTAGGCCTGCGGCTGGTGCTTATGTGAATATAGACGTTAGTTTAAAAGGTTTTTTGTCAAAAACGTGAAGTGTTGGAAATTTTGAGCAGTTGGTAGCACTAAATGAAAAGTAAAGGGAATTTCCCAAAGTCCTCTAGGGCAGTTGTTCCCACAGTGGGGTCCGGGGACCCCCAGGCGTCCTTGGAGGGGTCCCAGGGGGTCCCCAGCAAAAAGGAGAATCATTTCTTTTCGCTATTATTCCATCCACAAGTAACATAGTGACAGAACGTATGATTATTTTGGTCATGGGTTTCATACACTTTCTGTAAAACATCTAAAAACCCAAATCCTATCAGATTGGCGATCCTGGGACAATATCTTATCACAAGGAAGTCCGTTGTCTATTTTGTTCACTGTAGAGCAGAGTGGTACTGCAGACGTTCCTGATAAATATCTGTGGGTTTGTCATTATAAGCGACCCCTTTCAAATACACATAATAATCTAATCTATTAAAAATATAAAAATATTGGTTATAACAATAAAGTACAATAATCAGAACAAGCACACTAATGCTAACACTGCACCTACAGTTCCTCTGAAAAGCAATCTATTTAACAGGAGATGGGACCTCAGTGATGGGTTCATCTCTTCCTGTGCCTGGGGTACAGGGACTTAGTCTATTTAAAGGCTCTGCTTCTCCTGAGGGACTTTCAACTGTAGATAGGCTTAATAATAAATCTTGGAATCTGTGAAACTGTTGCTCCACACAAACACACACGCACACAAACACACACGCACACACACACACACTGAGTATAATCAGAGACGGTGTATAAAAGTGTTGATAAGTGTGTTTTCCCCTTTCAGCTGTGCTGTTCTGGTGCCTGTTGGACATTGTGCCAATTAAGAATGAGAAGGGAGACGTGGTGCTCTTTCTGGCTTCATTTAAGGACATCACTGACACTAAAGCCAAAGTCATCCAAGAAGACAAGAAGGAAGGTCAGTAGGTGTATGTACTGCATATAGAATGTGTGTTACTATTGCTGGTGAATGGAGGTTAATGGTTCCCAGACAAGAGATTGATGTAATGAGCATCACCCAGTCATTAAATAAAGCTCTCAAATGTTTACTATTTGTTTGGCATGTGGATTTTTAGTAATGTTAAGGCCATTGTTAAGTGCTACAAGACAGCAAGGGTGTGTCTTTTATCTTTATCTTTTATCAGACCAAATTGCTAACGTAGTACTTTTCAAACCCACCCTGTCTCCTTGAAATTACATTTACTTTTTAACATTTGCTACTATTTTGTTTTACAGTTTTGAGGGAAATGTAATATCTGCCTGCTGAGTGGCAACCTTTTTTTTCCAGTGGAGTAAGTGCTACATTTTCATAACACACACAAGTTGTATGTAGGTGGTTGGGGTGGATGGTGGGCTGCTAAGTGCAAAACTCTGACAAATAGACCAGGGGTTGATTTTATTCCACAAAAACATGGGATAATTGTTAATAAAGAATTTTTTTTTTTCGTAATTCAAGAAACTGTTGACTTTTTCTTTTTTTACACCACAACTTTTCTCTAACCTTGAAGTGAAGAGCTTTATACTTTATCTAAATTCTCTCTTTATCCATGCATGGCTTCGACCATCTGGCTGCATTGAGACCTAACCTGTGACCTATGTTAGCTCCATCTCCTTTAACTCAACTGTCACAGTTTGCTACCAAGTTCTTTTAAAGCCGACCTTGCTTCCTTTTCACTAATTGAGTCCATCCATGCAGCCTTTGGGATTTGGTCCTGGGTCCCTCCGAAGACACGCCCTACTCATCAAATTCAGCTGCGTTTGATCTCCAGCACCACGCTGTTTCACTTAGTCATCTTCTATAGTTGTTCATTTGACATCTTCTCAGGCCAGAAGACGCGACAGATTTTCCTGAGGCATCCATCATGGAAGGCATCAATCTTTTCAATTTCATGCATTGTCACTCATTAGCATCCAGCATTGCTGTTGTACAGTTGGACTTGAACTGTACAGTTGGTTCTTATTCTGTACTGCTTTGACTTGCTCACCATTCACTGTGATTGGTGAATCTTGAGTGGCATTAATGCACATCTCCTACAGATGGATATGCTTTGAGGTTCAAGGTTGTCAGGAAGGTCTAGATTTTCATCCACGGGATGCCCCTGGGTCTGTCAGTTGTTGTCTTCCCCATAATCCAGTCAATGGCAATTAGGACGAAAATAGGAGACACGGTCCAATCCTACGATTCAGAAGGCTGTGATGTGATTATAAAACGATAATCAATGCATTTTTTTCTATACAGGATTTTTGGATAATTACAAAGCATTTCATTTGCACATTAAAATCCCAAAAAAACATCTTCACTTTAGCTTAAAAGGATTAGTTTGTCATCCCTAATTTGCTTTACTAACCTGAGCTCCTCCATGGTCACCATCCTTTCCTCTATTTCTCAAGTTTTCACCATCACTTTCTGCCACTCGCTCTCTTGCTTTTGCTCACCCACACACTCACCACACACACATCAGACACTGTTCCCTAAAATACTTTACACTGCTCTTATAAGAGCACCTGTCAGGAGATGTCCTTAGAATGAGAAGAGGAAGATAGGCAAGCGTTGAGTGTTACCATGCTCGCACACAGTGTGCGAGTGAAAATCATTAATTGTCCATTGATATTAATGATCGTGTGAAATTTTCGTAGCAGCGCTGATTCATTCAGCAAGTGTGCTGAATATCAGGGAACACTGGTGTTATGTCACAGACTGCCTTTTGCTTTCCATCAAAATGACATTATCAATTATCATTTAGAAAACTGATTTGTGAATTGATTCAGAATCGTTCACGTCTGCATCTTGATGCATCTAAGAATAGATTTTTCTCCCACATTCAAAGTGACAATAGAACAACCCCATCAGTGTGACCCTTTCTGGAGGGATTCCATATGCTCTCAAGATCTTCCATACAGTGTCACAATGCAGGCTGTCAAAGGCTTTCCAAAAGTTGATGAAGTTGATGTACAGTGTGTTTGATTCTATACACAGCTTGATGATGTTCTTCAGAGCAAAGATGTGATCTATGCAACCCCTTTCTCTGCTTCCTTCCTTTCTCAGCTTCTGATCAGCAGCAGAATGAATTCTGCCAAGTAGATCCTGGACGTTACAACCAGCAGTGTAATCCCCTGCCATTTGTCATAGTTTTGGAGGTTGCCTTTCTTGGAGAGTTTAAAAATTAGGCCCTTGTTCCAGTCTTCAGGTATTGTTTCCTCCCAGATGTTTCTGAAAAGGTCTCAGAGCACTTTGGTTGGTCAAATTTCAGCATCTCAGCATGGCAACCTGCCAGCAGCTTTCCCACCCCTCATGGCTTTGATAGAGTGCTTGACCTTTTTCTTAGGGCGCGTTCACACTGATCTTGTTTAGTTGGGTTGAACCAAACCCTGGAGCATTTACCCCCTTAGTGTGATTCGTTTGGGTTGGTGTGAGGGTTGGACTTGAGCTCTGGTGCAGACCAAGCCACTGCACTTGGGTCCGCCTCGAAGAGGTGGTCTCAGACCGCTATCAAAACTCTGGAGCAGTTTATTTCTGGTAGGAACACCATATGAACCAATCCCAGGAAGCTACCACTGTACTATTTAATTTATTATTGTTGTTATTTATATTTTTTCACTGTTTGTCAATATGCCTTGGTGTTGGGTACATACATTAAGAGTGGGGTGAAAAAAGGTACAGTGCTGCAACAGTCAAGAACAGAAGGAGGGGAGCTTGACTGCAGCGGTACAACTGTCAAATGGTAATGCAGGTCTTGAGCTCAGGGAGGTAAGAAACCTCCCAGGGAGCAGAAGGACAAACGCTCACTTGATCTAGAGAATAGAAAAATTACAATCAAAATATGAAAGAGATACTATAAAAATACTAAAACAATAAATATACAATATATAATAATAATACGTTAATTATTATATAAGTATTCTTTATTATTGATGAAAGATCAGCATATTTTGATATATTTAACTTTTTATATATGAAGAATGGAGGGATATATATGCATTTATTAATTCATTCAAGGAGATGCATAAGTATTCTAAACATAAGCTAGTTTAATGACAGGCCTTTACTAGACATTTGCATGGGCAAACGTTTGCAATTATGGCCCACCTATTTCACTGGTCCAATTTGTATGACAAATGCAAACAATTCATGGTTTAATCTGTGATAAGACCACCTGAGTTTCTTCTATGAAATGCATGCATTATTTATCCTCTGAAGTCTGCTGATACCTGCTCCAAACCAACACCAACCGAATGATGCTCTATGATGTAAGATATCCAGGTATATTTGGTGTGATTTCTTGTCTTTTTACCTGCCAACTATGACCAATATTCTCTCTAATAAACACCATTTCCACCACATGGCTTTTATTTATAATTTCTGGACCATTTGAGTTGTAGCCTTTGTGAACCACACTGGACAAGCAGGAAAACAATGTCTCATCCTCGCATTGGTTCAACAAACCAGACCTTTAGGAGTGATAGCGCCCTTAGTTGGTGGAATGGTGTCATTGTCAAGGCCATCCTCTGCTGCTGGAGGATGATCTGGCTCTGAGCAGTTGAGTACCTCATGAAGTGCTATGTGATTAAGATGAGTGATACTTTGTTTTCTCCATCAGAAGGGTGGTAAGATCACAGTACAATCACTTCAGTCTTGCTTTAGGTTTTATTTACACAGTTACAGGAACCTGACATCTGTGCTTGGTAGAATAGGTTTGTGGTTCTTTTCAAATCCAGCTTGTCTTTTTAAAATTACATTTATTACTTAATTGTCTTGCCAAATACATCCTAAGGGAAACGTAATTTCTAGGTGGTTGGGGTGGATGGTTGGCTGCATAGTGCAAAACTCCCACAAATAGACAAGGGTTTGGGTTTATTCAACAAAAACACAGGTTAATTGCTAATAAAGAAAAAATTTACTGTCTTGTGATTCAAAAACTGTTGACTTTTTCTTTATTTAAGAACAAAATCGATCGTTCCCTATAACCTTGACCATTGAAGTGCTCTGAGTGCCTCAACATAACTATAAAACATTAATGGTGCTTAAGTTTCTATGTACACACAGATTTTGTATTGAAAGAGCAGAAAGTGTTGGAAAAAATGAAATAGCGAACATTTCCGTATATTTTCTTTATGAATATTTTGTAACGTGGTGGAAGTGTTTATAAAAATAATTTTCCTGATAAAAACATTTCAATTCTGGTGGCATTAAATGGCTTTCAAAATATATTTGCCACTGTAAAATAGATATTTGTAAAGGAGCTGAGGACTCTAATATTTTTGCAAGAACCTCCCCTCATGTTTGCCATTCCAGTAAATTGTATTCATTCTTGTAAATACAAAGAGCAACTAAAGGAAACACATTGCAAATTTCTGCCCTCAAAATCAATTTCCTCAAAGGATTACCCTAAGGGCAACTCCTAAGCTAAAGCCAAAAGTAACCTACAAAGCAAGGGAGAAGGTCAGTGTATATGCTGTCTGTGAAGTCAGCCAACTGACTTATCTCATCTCAGGCTTGCCTCCCCTGGATTTGCCTAATTACTCTCATTACTGTAAATAAGGAAGGAAACAGAGAGTAAAGTTATTGTTGCCCACTTAATGAAATGCTTTTCACAGAAAAGGAAAGAGGCTGTTGCAGCATGCCTTTACACAGAGACATCTCACTGTAATGGGTTTGGGTCTGACAAGTTTGTTTAAATGAGACTCACAAAACATTTGCATATTGATATCGTGGCCTGTGCAGATGTAGAAAGGGATGTGGTTGGTTTTGTGTGTTTAAACGAGTGCAGGGGAATTATTTTAACAATAATTATGGACAAAAATTAAATTAAAATTAAAAGCCGCATAGAATTGTAAATATGAATAACCTGGAGATATGCAGAAGCTATCACATTTCCATCCATGCTGGGGAAGCCTTTCAAGGATGGACGGACATTTCAGACGTGACCCAGTTAAATCTTTGTCTGAACAGTGTGGACAGTGTGTGCAAATAAGGGAAACCCGGTCTATGGCGTCAACAGTCTCCCCACTTTTCACCCCCCATCTCCTCTACTCATTGGCTCTATTTTCTCCCTTTTATGTCATCACCAAACTCTCACTCCTGGCTTTGTTTTTTGCTTTCTGGCGTCCTTTCCTCACATGTCTTTCTCTCTCTCTATCACCCCTATTTCTCATGTATTTCAGCTACTTTTACAGGATATCCATTCCCACCTCCTCTGCCTGCCCTACATGCTGTCGCCTTCCTTCCTTATACACAACACCCACCCCTCCCCACCTATGTTCCCCTTCTACCCCCCACAAGAAAGGCTATAAAAGCAGAGGGAAATTCATTAGATCTAAAAATAAGCACGTCTCTGTCTCTGTGCCGTGTCGCGTCCCACAAGGCTGCACCGTGTTATGGATGGCCCTGTCTGTTCGCCTCGTCTGGGGTCCGTACAGACACTCACAACACACCCACATAATGCACACACTTTCTAAAGGACAGTCAAAAGCAGTTATCACTTCTATTCTCCCGGTTTGATATTGCCATTATCCCCCCCTCAAGCCAATCTGGCCCTAGTCCTTTCCTGTGGGTTCACAGCAGAGAGAATGGGGTTGAGAACCAAGCAGCAATAAAATGCCTTCTCCTATTACGCAACTCCTTGGTCTGAACATCTACTTTATCTACTATTGCAAAACACATACATAAAAACACACACAAGCATGCCAACAAGCACACAGAAGCCCACTCCATAGCAATCGACAATAGAAAATCTACCTTACTATACTTAACTGACGGACTTATCAAAGCTGGAAATTGTGCTGTTTTGCTGGAGAGAGTGTTTACACAATAAGACATCATCAACCAATATTTATGACTGAATAATGTGAATCAAAACAGGTAACACATGTTCTTTGACATTTTCAAAAGCAAAAAGTAAATAGCCCGTTTTTATTTTAAACTTGATGAAATTGTTCAATTTGCTCAGAAATGACACATTCTTCCTGTTGCATACCGTATTCATGTTTTTCTATTTAGGACAGAATATTATGTATTTCATCATGCATAATGACTGATTCATTCATCAGGAGTTAACCTTGGGGGGTAAAGTATTGTAGAGAGGATGTGTACTAACTTTTGTGTGTATGTGTGTCTTTACAGAGCGACGGCGCGGCAGGGTGAAAACAGGCTCTCCATTCAGCTCAGCTCGTCTGCGGAGCAGCACTGTGCTCTACCACATCTCTGGTCACCTCCACAGCAAAGAGAAGAGCAAGATTAAACTCAACAAGGTATCATCAGACACTTCAAATAATGGGACAGGATGTCACATGATGAAGCAGGGCTGGACTGGGACAAAAAATCGGCCCTGGCATTTTTGGCCCACCAAAATCGGTCGGACATCCCTCCCCTACCATCCTCACAGCAAGAAGGTCGTGGGTTCAAGCCCCGGCCTTTCTGTGTGGAGTTTGCATGTTCTCCCCGTGTCTGCGTAGGTTCTCTCCGGGTGCTCCGTCTTCCTCCCACCGTCCGAAAACATGCAGGCTAGGTTGATTACCCTAAATTGTCCTTCGCGATGGACTGGCGACCTGTCCAGGGTGTACCCCGCCTTGCGCCCGATGTCAGCTGGGATCGGCTCCAGCCCCCCCGCGACCCTGTACGCAGAATAAGCGGTTGACGATGGATGGATTTAAGAGGGGGTTCTGGGAGTCCTCCCCCTGAAAAATTTAGGCTTTAAACACTTCATTTCCTGCATTCTGGTGAATTTTATTGCACCAATTCATCGAGGAAATGTCTTTATTTATATAAAAGGAAACACAAAATTTAGGTGACAATTCAAAAAATAAAAATATAGTGTAATATACTGCTGTAAGGCTCTCAGGCATTCTGTATTGCTGTCAAATATGTTTCTCCTTTTTTTTTTCTCCATTCATTTAATTCAGTTAATATCCTGTGCACCTTAATAAATACGTTTCAACAGCTTTTCTGTTCAAAACTTTCTGCGCATGAAAAATCTCTCCCACATATCTGTGTTCTCTGACATTTGCACAATAACAATTTGAGATATAATATTACGAGATATAATGAGAATGAAGTCATTCTATTTTAACAAAATCTACGTGCCCTACTGCTGTGCTTTACCCTGCGTTATTGCTCTGCTGATACAGTAGCAGATACCCCCTTTAGACCTTCTGACAGACACAGAGCCCGTCTGGGACTGTACTGGATGAGAAGAGCTCACTGCACTTCTTCAGAGGTAGAAAACCGAAACACTTACGTGAAGTTCAAACAAGATTTAGCAATGTTATTGCGAGTAGCCTCCGCTCTCTGAAGAGCTGCGAGACAGGCTGCCTGATGAGGATTATTGTATATTAGCCGACTATGGAAAATATTTTTTATGTTGTTGTTGAGTTACATTCGGGGCTACTGTCAAAACATTCGGGGCTAAAGTCACCTGGCGGCGCCGTTGGTGGGTAGCCTACATGTCCCCTGCGTCCCCAGTGTAAATGATCCTCTCTCCCTGCTCCCTCCCTACAGGTTGAGCTACTCAGGCTTACCGCTTCACCTCCACTCTCCTCCTGCTCCCTCTCTCACTCAGTCCTGTCACTGGCTAACACAGCCTCCTCCTCTGCCTGTCAGTGGCCACAGCTCTCCTTTACTCTTTCACAGGGTACTGCAGCTGATGTTGAAGCTACTGCAGCCCCGGTAGCAAACACACCAATTGGTTTAGCGTATTTGGCGGCTACTAAATGCTACAGCTAGTCGATAACTTTGTCAGCTGTTTGTGCTTGGCAGGCAGCATACAAAACTTTTTCACTGAAAACAGATGCTTGCTGTGGCTAGAATTTAGCATTAGCAATTGCTAAGCCAGCACTCTGAAAGTTACAGGGCTGCCGTTCCTGCATGATAACACTGTATATGTTGTGATTCTATTTAACAATCAACCTGGAAAGCTGGTTTGTGTTATTTAGTAAGTGGATGTCACAGGTTGTAATACTTGTGTTTTCTTATCCTGTCCTGTCCAGAACGTGTTTGGGGATCCACCTGCTCTGCCAGAGTACAAGGTAGCAGATGCCAAGAAGTCCAAATTCATCTTACTACACTTTAGCACATTCAAAGCTGGTTGGGATTGGCTGATTCTACTTGCCACATTCTACGTTGCTGTGACGGTGCCTTACAATGTGTGCTTCATCGGTGATGATGATGACCTGACCCGCAGCACAACAGTCAGTGATATCGCAGTGGAGATACTGTTCATCATAGGTTAGTTGCAGAACTGCAGAATTGTTTATAACCTAATTGATCAGATTTATGTACTACATGAATCCTTGAAATTTTACAATAACCAGCATTTACTATAAACAAACACCCAGCTTTCTTTGTTCGTCTTTCTGTTTTCCTGCCAGACATTGTTTGTAATTTTCGTACAACCTATGTCAGCAAGTCGGGCCAGGTGATCTTTGATGCTCGACAGATCTGCATCCATTACCTGACCACATGGTTCATCATTGACTTGGTGGCCGCGTTGCCGTTTGATCTGCTCTATGCCTTCAAAGTCAGCGTGGTGAGTAGCCATTGGCTTGTTGCTTAATCAGTTTACAACATCCGACAGTCTGGGGTTTAATATCAAACCCAGTCTGTAAGCCACTGTATATTCAAATTGTAAAGTGTTTTGTTGGGTGCTATTGACTTTTTTGATTTAAACCTTTAATGATCAAATAAACATGTTAGATCCAACCAGTATTTTATATTCACATACAATTCTCTGAAAAGATGAAAGAAATACTGTAATAAGAACCATGAAAGGAAGAATAAATAAGGAAATGTAAGCATTAGTTAATGACATGACTTTGAATACTAAAAATCTCACTCTCTAATCCTGTCAGCACATTGGCCCATCGTAAATTGCAACACCTCCAGCACATTGGACATTTCATAGGAATAGATTACATGGAGTGTTTCCAGCACAGCTCCAGCGCCTCTTTGATTCATTCCACATACTGTTCAAGCACTGAGAAAACAGTCAAACCTGTATCATTAAAACCTTTTTCTGTTCTGCTTGAGTCAAATGCATGTCCCCCTCAAGAATAGTTGAATGGAGGAAGAAACAGAGATGAGTAGCAATTAGGTAGAGGTTCTTGTCTTGTCCCCGGCTGAATGATATCACAGAATGGAAGCACTACACTATAGGGAGGTTTTGATCAGTTGCTTATGGCCATTTTTGCTTTTGGCCTCTAATTTAGAGAAATTGATGCTTTGACTGCTTTATATTGCTGGCTCCACTTCTTAAATAATCGTCAGACCGGTAGAACAACAGGAAGTTACCTGGGGCTCTCTTTAACAGGACTGAGAAGATTACAGAAAGGGAAGAAGAAGAAAGGACAGGTGAAAACAAAAAAGAGCAGTAACTATTGTAAAGAAAGTAGGTAGAGTGAGAAGAAAACAGAGAAAGGCAAAAAATAATTATTACAAAAGCGCAGGAGGAGTGGCCAAAAAAGTGCTATGAAAGAAAGTGTGAGCAAAATAAGAATAGATGTCTTTCATACTATGAAGGGTAGGGGTGGTGGAGGGCTGGGCACAATGATAGGCTGCTCTAGGCGAAGGTGCCTGTTTGGTTCCAGACTCTATTAATGGAAATACCACACAATCCCTGTAGGTCAGGATTTGGGTTTGGGCTACTGGGCAACATCGTGCCATTCCCCCTCTGCCTCTGGGCAGAGGGGGAATGGCAGGTAATTGCTGAGCGTTCTGCGTCATGTCCCCTCCAAGGACGGAGCATTCACACTGATGTTCCCTATAAGGACAGATGCCATCTTTCACCAAAATGAGCCAAGGGGCCTCAGCAGTGTCCCTCCCTCATGTTCTCCCATCTATCTATGGTCATCCCCTCTATACTTGACTATCACCTGATTCTCAGGGTGTTTTTCTGTGTGAGCTGCTGCTAAAAAATTTAAATTACAAAAAATGAGCAAAAGGTTAATAGGAAACGTATCCCAAAAATGTGTTTTTAGTTTTCTTGAGTGAAGTCATCTACACAAATTGGTCAGCAGTAAGATGTAATTCTTCTTCTGGTGATTATGCATTCACACCAGGGCCAAAGACAGACATTTGTTATTAATACGTACCTGCTACTGTCATTATTAAAGCTCCTATAAATATGTCTCCTGGTCCTGGAGGCCTAGTTGATATTGGATAATAGTGTAATGAATTCTTATTGGTCCAATACTGCTGCATCAATAAAATAAAATAAAAAGTGTGACCAGTCACGCACATGGGATTGGCTTGTAGCGCTGAAGGCGTGGCTGCAGGGGGAGAAATAATGAGAATTTCTGTAAAGTTCTAGTCTCATGTGCACAAATACAGCCTTAAGAAGCAGAGAGAAAGTAAGCAATCAAGTAGCTAAATGTAAATTTCACACCTGACAAGCAGAGAAAATGCAAATGTGAGTGGCTGGGGTGAGGTGGAAGTAGTAGACGGAAAAGTTAAAGGAGAAGGCACATTACATTGCTTACTGCCCATGCTGCTGGAGAAGAATGGGATGTGGTGCAGCCTGTTCTCTCCTTAGGTGGGTTGCAGGGTGTTGATAGATGGTGCAGACTAGATGGAGCTTCTCCCCAGGGCTCAGTAGGAGGCTTCATTACCCCTCGTGCTGTACCAGTTCTCTATTTTTCACAGTTTGGGAAAACCGCCATAAAACATGCTGGAGATGTAGGAATAGCTCTGGTAAGGACTGTCCAAACTCCACGTCTTAGCTTTGTTCAAACGATCTGATCTAATTCTCTCTCTCATACACACAAACATTTTCCCTCTCCTCTTCATCATTCATTTACTGCCTATATCCCACACCCTCCCTCTTTCCCCATCTATTTATTGTAGTTATTACATTATATATTTTTTCTTTAATGTTTCTGTCCCACTTTCTCAGTCTCGAGTCATCCCAAAGTACATGGTAGATTTGTAATTTCATACACTACACAAATACACATGTAACACCCCGTACATCCTCAAGTTACAAATATCCTCCATGTCATCGTAAATGTATGTATGTGTTTGGGGCGGGGTTCTATGTCCAATGCACCTTCACGATGGAAGGCCCAAATGATAGACTGTTGCTTGAGGAGCAGGTGAACACCTACAGCAAATGAAGGGTATGAAGGGGGACTTAACATTGTTTGTGAAAAGTCAGTAGAAGGAAGCAGAAAGCTTGTTGCAAAAATAGTTTGATTTGTTAAGAGTGGAAGAACAAAGCACGGAAGAGAACTGGAGTAGAGAAACACTGCAGGGTGATGGTGAGGATTAAAAAACAAAACAAACACACCTGTGAGCAACTGCCTGATTGCTTTAATAGGTAATTTTATATTCAAGGATTCTTCATCAGGAAATCTTCATATAGATCATATTGTTGATGTGTTTACAAGCATTTCTCAAGTTCTAATTATAGAATCTGAGAGCAGCCTCTAATGTTGAGAGGACATGGAGCATGGTTAAGAGCTTTTTGTCACTTCAGGCAGAGCTGTGTATGCAATTATGTATTAGCGTGTGTGTGTGTGTGTATAATGCTGGTTTATCGCTCTTCCCATGAGATTTACCGTCTGTAAAAGGGGGAGGATTGCAGTCTGTGCTCCTCACTTTCTTAGTTTGTGTTTCACTCTCTTTATATCTGCGTCTCTCTCTCTGACTTTGCCTCCAGCCGAACACCAGCAAATCTCATGGAAACTATAGCTATAGTATACAGTGAAGATAAGTGGTGTGTGGTTTGGTAGTACATGGTGGCAGTTCCAATGTAGGTTTTACAAATGCAAACTGTGACACCTGTGAAACGTCATCAGGAAATTCCCTTTATGACAAAAAATGCATGAAATTGATAAAATTGCCATATGCATCCTAAAAATAAATTCACCGTGGGACCTTGTTCTTTGTCCCCAGGTGTCCGTGGTCCACCTGTTAAAAACAGTACGTCTGCTCCGTTTGCTGCGATTGCTCCAGAAGATGGACCGATACTCGCAGCACAGTACAGTGGTACTGACGCTGCTGATGTCCATGTTCGCCCTCCTGGCCCACTGGATGGCCTGCATCTGGTACATTATTGGCAAGATGGAGATGGAGGCCAACGCCTATAACTGGGATATAGGTGAGTAAAGGAAAATGATGCCATGCCCCAACACACTGATGACTGTTGATGTTTTAAAACTAAATGGAGAATTGTAGTGAGAGCCACATCACCAGTGTACTAAACCAAAACCAGGAGGTCTATCTTGAGGTAGTGTTTGGAGCTTAGACTAGTGTTACCGAGAATGAATGTGATATGAAGTGTACATGTGTAATTTCACATCCATGTTCCCTCAATTTACTGCTTGGTAATATCAGATTAGCTCTGAGTGTCCCAAAAGAAACACCAAATTATGACATTTACAATGAATGCAACTACAGGGTTTCCCTCCATAATTCAGTTTGAATAGGGATTTAGTTTAGTTTCTGTGATTTAAAAAAGAGAGGGTAAACAGTACGTAAGCGAGGTCTGTTTACAGAAAATGGAGTAGAGGAAGCAGAGCTCATAGGAGTGTAAAAAGCTGTACAAGTTGTGTGCGAGCAATACATAAAAAAAAAAAACACATCAAAAGTGTGAATCTAAAAGACTACCGCTGCTGCTACCTGCTGATTTGGTGAGAGTTGAATGCCATGTGAAGTGTGCCTGCAGCAAGACACTGTCAGCTTTGGTACATGATGCCAAAGGGATGAGGACCATGTAGCATCAACCATGATGATTTTGGGCTGGGCAATGAAAAGCAATAGTAGATTGAGACTAAAAAAAATGAGAGATTTTGTAGAAGCAAGGGACAGCTGCAGTTCACTTCGGGTGTGGCAGTTTCAGAATGGATCTTAAATGGATATTCATAGCATGACATACAAACAGACAGTTGTGCTCTTGATGCACACTTTGGTATTATTGCGGCCAGATGAAGTGTGTTCATTTTATCTATATTTTTCTAGCTGAGGGAGCCATTATCCAGCTTTGTCAAGCTTTGAATCAATATAAAGGAAACACTGGGCTTTTATTCGGAAAAATCTGTAGAATAAATTCTCATGGTCTGTGGCCCAAAATGAAAAGCTATAAAGCTAGAATGTTTAAAAAAAAATAGCATCTAGTATTAATAAAAAAAACTCACATACATTTCATGTAGGAGACTCCTCTTTCCTTATATTTTTCTGCTCTTTGCTTTCTCGTAGTAAGATATAATTTCTGCTTCATCTCAACTGTCACGTTGTGCATGGGGCTTTGGTTAACGTGTCAATACTCTGGTGCAATGCATTTTCATTGCTCATTATTTTCAAAACAATCAGTGCTTCTGAAAAGCTATTGATGCGTTCAACCTGCAGGTTTTTTTTCAGCTGGTAAGATCTGATATTTACCTGTACATCTGTTTTTCATTATGGACCTCATCCCTGCAGGTTTTCAAGCTATTAAGGCAGATGTTTATGTACAACTAGGATTTAAATCAAATATATAAGCATTGTTTGGTGTCAGAGCCCTGCTGTAACATTACAGTCCTCATAGAGCAATCGAAAAGACACCTCATACAGTTTATGTGGGTTTGAAACACATAATATTGAATAGAGAGGTCCTTGCTAATACTGGTAACTATGCGATGGACTCAACATGTTGTCATATTATAGAGCAGGTATTTGCAGTCCATTAAGAGTACTACATGTTTGTCAGGGTCCCTTAATATTTCAGTAAACTGATCAATAAACTTTATGTTTCCTCATCAATTTGACTGACTCCTAAGCTGTGTGTGTGCTTGCATGCAGGTGCTTGTGTGTGTTGTAAAATTGACTGAGCGAATGGCATGATTCTTCTCATAATTTCCCCTCAGTCTCCATGTCCCTCATATAATGAGGTCCCTGGGCTGATCTCTGGTCAGTATCGATGAGCTGTACTGTTACCAATTACCTCTATCTGTTGTCTTCCTAAATGGTTCCGGGTCAGCATTGACTGGGTCATGAGAACAATGCAGATTTCTATTCGCCAATTACTGCATTTCAGTGTCAGGTCAGTACAGGAGGCAGGATTAATGTGTTGTGTCCTAATTATGCATTTCTGATGCCGAACTGAGCGTTGAAGTCAGGCAGCTATGAGGGGCTTCTATCCAATTACCATTCATCAGTGTCTGTAGGAGACTCTCCTGGGATCAGCCGCATGTCTCCACACTTGACTGACCAGGGATCAGTTCTGGTAACCAAGCACTTGATCTGCTATACTGTTAAATCCATTGTTCTGGATGTGGCACAGAGGAAAACACTGCTTACCAGTTTCTAGAGCGAGGAAACAATGTTGTCAGCTTTGTCTGCATCTCCATGCTTCACTGCACCAGGCTTTGAGATGACCACTGCAGCTCACTGTATCCAAGAAAAATGTAAAAACTAATCATGGTGCACTTGAAGTGATCCCATCTAGTTCTTCGGGAATACAAGAAGACTGGAAAATGTGTGGAAATAGTTGCAGTTTTGCAATAAGGCTCCTTTTGAATATTTTATTAATTGCTGTAGATATTGCTCAGATATGGTTTCTCAAAAATTATTCACCCAGGTTTGGCTCCTAAGCTCTCTCACAGATAGAGTGGGCCAATGTTATTAGCTTGGTAAAACACAATGAAAGTGCATTACTAACTAGCTATAACCATACATTTGTCTTTTCATCCGTTGATATCCCCATTTACACCATCTTTACAAACAGGATGGCTCCATGAGTTGGGGAAGCGTCTGGAGTCGCCATACTATGCCGTAGGAGGTGTGAACGGGACCAGTAGCGGCCCCTCCATCCGCAGCGTCTATGTCGCCTCACTCTACTTCACCCTCAGCAGTCTGACCAGTGTGGGTTTCGGCAACGTGTCGGCCAACACAGACACAGAGAAAATTTTCTCTATTTGCGTCATGCTGATTGGAGGTATACCGAACACACACACCAGTGATTATGTGTCTGTTAAGTGTTCTGAATATCAGATTATTTGAGATCTCCAGAATAACTGTGGATAGCTCTCCAAGATGGGTGGGCCAACTGAGTTCCTTCAAAAACTAGTGTACCTAGAAGAATTGATGGTGTATTGAAGGCAAATCCAGTTTAGATTTTTTCCTGTTCACTCACTTTGCATTTCGTTAAGTAACATGTCTACTCTTGAAAGCATTCCTACTTTTCAGCATTTTTCCACACCTGATTAAAACCTTTGCACAGTACTGTACATCTACAAGTAATCTTCATGTCTTGGCTTAAAAATTCAATAGCAATATCAACAAAATCAGATTTTTTCCTGGTCCATCTGTGGCCAAAGAAAACACACACTTGCACAAGCAGGTAGTTTCATTATAATCCATTGGCCTGTATAATGTATATTGAGCAGACCTTTGCAAGATGGTCTTATCTGGTTTAAATTGGATCTTTACAATAGGTTTGGTTTTTGGGGATGAAGGGAGTTAATCGTGGTGGGGTTTTCCCTGTGGACACCCCTCACTCTGGTTCAGCTAAATGTTAAATGTCCTTGGCTGCCTGGGGGCAGCAGCAGTCACAGATGCACACCACACATGCGCATTCTTGCACACACGCACACACACACACACACACACACACACACACACACTCCCATACAGTCCCTTGTGTGCTAATGTGAAATGAAAACTAACACAAAGGACCTGTTCATATTTATAGCAAAGCATAGGTCAAATGTAGTGACTTTGTAGAAGGAATTTGATAATTGCTTCATTAGAAGGAACTGAACAGCAAATATTTTTTTATTCTGCATTTCATAATACATATAACTGTATGCCTAAAGAGGAATAAATAGTTACCGAACCACAATACAAAATGGTTCAGTTTCAAATGTTGTGACTTAAAAGCTCTTTTTTTGTTAAACACTGACACATGTCACAAAAAGGAGTCAGAGGTACAACAGTCACACTCAGCAAACATTCAATACGAACTTGCTTTATTCCTTTTCAAATTGTTTTTGTTTAAAAATATCTACTGGCAATATCGATACAAGCATAATATACTAGCAGGAGTCTGTTTTTGAGATGTCTGTTTGTGTGTGAATCCATGAAAACAAGACAGAACATGACTGCTCCTTGTTGTATCTCTCACTGCATCATTGACCTGGTTTGAGCGGTCTGAGTGCATCCCATAAATGTGGCACTGCTCTCCTCACTGTAACTGAAACAACCCCTTCCCACTTTGGCACTGTTTTTACATTAAATTAAAAATTAAAGTAGCATCCAAAAGATTTTCCCATTTTGCTTCACAGTCCCTTTCAGTCTACTTCATTCATACTTATGCTCCATTATCTCTTCCCTGTCTAACTCTCCCTTATCTCGTCCTTGTCTCTCTTGCTCTCATTCTTTATACCTGCAGCACTCATGCATGCATTGGTCTTTGGTAATGTGACAGCCATTATCCAGAGGATGTACTCCCGCTGGTCCCAGTACCACACCAGAACCAAAGACCTCAAGGACTTCATACGTGTCCATCATCTGCCGCAGAGCCTCAAGCAACGAATGTTGGAGTATTTTCAGACAACCTGGTCGGTCAACAACGGCATCGACTGTAATGAGGTACCAAAATCACATATACGTCTAATATATATATAAATCCTTATCCTCCTTTTTAAGTTAACTTGTGTTTTTGACACCCAGCAGCACAGCGTATAGGGATCAATAATTAATTTGAAAGATCACATACTTCTCACTCCTCACATGTCATCTACATTGAAACTCATCACAAGAGGGATAATATGATCGATACTCCAGGACCCTCCAGAATGTAAGAGCGTGATGTTTTCTTCAGCCCTGACTGACAAGGAGGAGACAGAGGACAAGAATGAGTCATTTGCAGATGACAAGATATTTTGTAAACCTTGAGATTCAGGGGACCCTTTCTAGATTGTTTGTAGTTGAAGTCAGATTCATGTCATGACCCAAGTACAAGGAATGTACAGAAATTTAACATAATGGGAGAGATGGTGACTTATTACTCATGGAACTGGACATCGTCTAAGGTAGTGGTAGGAAATAACTCAAGCATTGTACTGAAGTACATTTTTTGGGTACTTTATACTTCTACTTCACTATATTTCAGAGCAAAATGCTTTTACTTACTTTTTATTAGTTACACTTTACTTAAACCTACAGTGCGCAACTTTTGTCTCCCCCGCCTCTTCTGATAGTGAGAGTATGAGCTTATGACGAATAGGTTCTGCTGCCACTGCGGTTGCTCCCCCCCTTCAGCAATGGCAAACCGATCATTGCAGGTTGGCCGAAAACACAGCAGGTATATTGCCACAGACATCAGATTTAAAAGCTGCGAATGCAGAGAAGTCCCACACTCACACGCTTTAATTCAACTAAACTAACTTTTAAAACAACATTAAACTATCGAGCAGTGTACAAAGTAGTTCAAATTTAAACATGTTGTTGATGATCTTGGAATTTAACCATGCTACGGTGGCACTTGTTGCAGGTTGTGCCAGAAAAGTCTACTAAATTGACATGTATAAACAGTACAGATTAAAATAAACTGAGAAATGGAAACAGGTGGACACAGGGGACAGCTTAGAGAAAACACTAACAGAAAAGGAGGACCAATAACACCTTTTTTTCGACAAGCCCAGAGAAACAGAGGCAACCAGTTAGTAGTCTAGTACAGTGGTTCCCAACCTGGGGTCCGCACCCCCCTAGGGCGGCGCCAGAGATTGCAGGGGGTGCCCAAAGCTTTATCTGTTTTGAGGTTGTCAAAAAAACTTTGGTTTGCACAGTTTAAAAAAATCATGATAACACACTAGAAAATTTATACAAAAGTCATTTTTTTCCTCACTTTAAATAGTAGGCAGACTACTTAGTAGTAGGGCTGTAATGGTTTTGAAACAGAGACCAAAATCGTGACACAAAAGTCCACGATCTGGTGTCGAGGATCCGAGAGACAGAACCGCGACACACCCACTCATTGGACTGTTGAGCTCTCATTAAGACAGTGCAACTGTGCCGCCACCAGCGGCCGGTGGAGGGTGGGCTCGGTAGCGGTGTATATTGTAGGCTATTTGTATTACAGTAGGTTATTGTAGGTAATTTTCCACCTTAGATTAGTTTGTATTTACTTGAATCTGCTCCTCTGCTCTTCTCCCCACACTCACACACACCTAGCCTGCATCTCTGGTCTCTCACGAAAAACATGCCGGCTTGCTCTTTCTGTCTCTCTCTCCCTGTTATGTGTATGCTGATTTTCTCCATCAGCAGTACGTTTCATAAAGTCGCTGTGTTTAATAAACTCACCCGTGATTCAGTTTTAATGTGCGCCGCATGTGGAACTGAAACTTAACGTTAGTGAGTGACATCTGCAGTGGTGCGTTCACTGTCGCTCCGTAATGTAACATTTCCTGCGTGTCCGTTGACATAATACCAGATAACCTCTCCCTCACCGTTTCTCTGCAAAATGCTAAAGTGGGTTGCCAAATATACTTTGGCAGGTGCAACTATACCTGTAAACCAAGTAAATACCAAGTAAAGTATGTTGAAACCACTCAAGTTAGTGCAAGCTGTAGGCCTATAGGTAGACTATTTTGTAAATATTACACCTTATAAACCCCTTTTCTTGGTATTAAACAATACCAAGAAAAGGCCAACCAAGCCCAATGCCAGCTCTGGCCTTCACCAAGAGCTGGCATTGATTTACACACAGCCATGGAGGTGTCATTTGACTCCATTTGTTCCTATTAGTAAGTAATTACATCATCTTTTTCTGTGTGCCTGTTTTGTCAGCTGTTGGGGGGCTCAGCTTTTCTTGGATAAAAGTAGGGGGGGCGCCAAGGAAAAAAGGTTGGGAACCACTGGTCTAGTAGCAGCTTGTCCATCCAGGCTCTAAATGCCTGCGAGACAGCTGTCAGAGCCCAGACCAGCTTTTAGATGGAGGGATGATTATGAATCCCAGACAGATGAATCATAGATGGGCCTGTTGATTAAAGTCACCCTGGCTCTGAAGACTCATTGATCGACTATGTGATGGTGAGCCCCAGATCGTTGTCCTTACAAGAAGACAGACAGCTAGGTTATATGCAATGTTTTGACGTTTGTGATTTTCCAGATCTTCAGTGAGTCTTTATGTTATGAGTGTAGTAACTGTGCATATTGTGTTGATTTATACAGTAGCATATTAGTAAAGTATTAGAAATATTAGTGCTTCATAGTGTTTTCTTAATAATGATAAGTTTATTGAGTTTAGGTCAGTTTTCTATGCTCTGAACTAAATAATGCCTTGTTCTCAGATATCCTGTTAAATTGCTGACTGGATATGTATATATATATTTATCTTCCTATTAAACTATTGCTTTTGGGTGATGTCAATAAACCTCAGTTGACTTGACACTAATGTTTCCTGTGTGCAATAGCTTAGGAATCAAATCAAAGGTAACCAAGGCGGCAAATTTAATCACTGAGTTGCAGCATGGCTGTGTTTTCACAACTGTCGTGCCTCTCTCTGTCTCATTCCCTGCCTTTCACCCTCCCATCATCATCACAGCTGCTGAAGGACTTCCCGGATGAGCTGCGATCCGACATCACCATGCACCTTAACAAGGAGATCCTGGAGCTGTCGCTGTTTGCCTCAGCCAGTCGCGGCTGCCTGCGCTCCTTGTCGCTGCACATCAAGACCTCCTTCTGTGCTCCCGGAGAATACCTCCTTCGACAGGGCGACGCACTTCAGGCAATCTTCTTCGTCTGCTCAGGGTCCATGGAGGTGCTGAAAGACAGCATGGTGCTGGCCATCCTGGGTACGTTAAAGGATGAAGGGATGGAGGGGAGGAAGAGGGGTGGTGTGTGGAAGAAGGGGCAACAATCCCTCTGTACCATCATTATAGTTTTACAAAGAAACACCCAGCAGCAGGCATCATATTAAAGCTCTGTGCAGCTCATTGTGATAAAGCTGGGTCTGTAAATGAGCCCATTGTTTAGAAATAGTAGCATTACAGTGTCCTAAAGGATACAGCTCATTCTCAGACTCAGATTTTTATTAAAGTCCCATAAAAGCAACTCTAGTTAGATGCCATTTTTTAGCAATAAGAGCCAAAGAAGGACTTCTCTAACTGCGAACACAATGAGATTCCTAATAGCCAAAGCCTTACTTGATGTTGCGTGAAATAACCGTGTTGATTATTATCGGCAGGTCCAGTGACAGTGAGCAGAGCTGACAGGCACATATTGAAACAGACACTGACATTCAGCCATTGCAGATTTATTATATACCACTATGCAAACTAAGATTATCCACTACCACACAGGTTGATTCCCTCCCATAGTGATGTCCAACTGAGTACGGTCAAGACTGTTCAATAGCATTGTAATTCACTCCTGTCCACTTTAATCTGTGTTGTCCAGTTCAGTCCGGCCCATTTCATCACTCCATTTCACTGGAGTCAGGAAATTTCAGTTCCGTCTAGTCTAGGCCAGTTTAGTGCTGTCCGCTCCAGTCCATGGTCGGAGGAGTTGAAGTCAGTTTTTATAATGCACCCAGGGCCAAATTTGTATGCATTTTCATTCATAGTGTTAAATGATTGTTTGATTTGCTAAGGCAGCAGCTAATTACAATATAAGCTGCAAACATCGACGTCTGTGCATTCATTCAACAGAAACAGAACAATATAAAACCTAAAATGTATATTTCAGTGGTGCGATAATCCTGAAATCAGCATTTTCAGGGGGCGGAACTGTAGGGATTCTAAAATAGAAATTGGCCTCTCATTAATGGAGGAACAAGGTTCCATAACATTTGCTAAAGCTGCAATTCAGCTCAAACTAAGAAAAGATATTTATTTTATTCATAAAATTAAAATAACACTCATTTTTATAGAAAGTGTTGTGCTGCTAATGCAGTGGGGGTCATTATGTGAAGTTCTAATGAAAGGAAGAATAGATGAAATTGTATAAAAGGATGCATAAAAGAAAAGACTGCTTGTTAAAAATCCATCGCAATCAGTGGCAGACCACCTCAGGAGAGCAAACTGACCCAGATAAGGAAACTGGTCCAACAGACCACAGTTCAACCACAGGAGGTGTATGGTGTGTGTGGTACTTACATGAGTGGTGTCTAGATATAATCTCCAGATAATAGCAACAAAAAACACGTCTTATCAAAAGTGTGCAATTACTGGAGTGCATTAGTTACTCAGTACACATCAAGTTGGAGTAAAAGTCACTTTTCTCAAATTTTTTTATGAACTACTGGACTTGCTATAATAAACAATTCTGACATTTTCTGTATATATCCCATAATCATCCCTATATGTATTTTGAAGCAGATTTGATCCAAACAGTTTGATGATGAACACATATTAAAACATTTTCTGTTCTTAATAGAATTATTTGACATTTTGGGAAATATCGCTTTCTTGTTGAGAGTTAGATGAGAAAGTTGATACCCCTTTCGTGCAAATGACAAATTTATATTAGCATATGTATCTTTCTGGTATGCTTCTAATTATTACTGTTCTCTTCTTCATACGTGTTATAGACTAATCTGGCAGCAGAATGTGTGTGCCAGGAAAGTGTATGTGTTTGAGTGAGTCAGTGAGAGAAAGCTAGTTAAACATCACTTTGTCTCTTTTGGTGCAGTACTGACAATCATCATCTCACTGTTATCGTGTTTGTGTGTATGTGTGTGAGTGCATGTGCAAAGTGTGTCTACCTGTTGTTTGTTTCAGTACCTGCATGCTAGCACTCCTGTTGAAAAAAAGTTTGTGTGCGTTTGGGCGTGTGTGTGTATGGAGTAGGTGGAATTGTTTACTGCTGTTAAGAGTGATTGTGTGGGTGGGTGTGTGGGTTGGTGCATATGTGTGTGTGTGTAGGCTTGACAAGCGGAGAGCATTGTCTCTGTGCTTTCTGTGCAGAAGGTCAGGCTGACATTGAGTGTCTGACTGAAGGAGAAAAAATCTTCTCTCTTTCTCTGTTTCTCTTTCTCTGTGTTTGTCTCTCTACTCTCCTCATCCTTGTCACACTACAAGTCCACAGCTGCAGCTCAGTACCACATAATAGAGAGTGGGTAAGAGCAAGAGAGGCCATGTTGCGAGACATTAAACAGAGACAGTGAGAGGATGAGGAGAAAGTGGGGTTGATGGAGAGAGAGTAAAAAAGAGAATGTGTGTAGTAGAATATCTGACACAAATGAAACAAAAGTCAGGGGGCTGGACAGAGGGAAGACAGAGACCAGGTCGGGAGAGAGTGTGAAAGAAAGAGAAGGAAAGCAGAGCTTGAAAAAGAAAATAAATACCAATAATGCTGAGGGAGGAAGCAGGGCAGGAAGGGATAAGAGAAAAAAAAAGAGGGGAGGAGGAAAATTGAGGAGGGTGAACAGCTCAGTTGAGGTAAGGTGGGGTAAGGAAGAAAGGAAAGAATGTAATGAAAGTCATAAAAAGTAATGAAAGAAGAACAGCAGGAAGGAAGATAGGAAGGAAAGAGTAATATAGAAAGGAAATGTGTGAGGGGGGACAGGGAGTAAAAAAGAAAGGAAGAGAGCAAGGAAGAAAACAGGAAGGGTGGAAGGATGGCAAACAAATAGAGGAAGAATGTCAGAAAATGGAAAAAAGGAGGGAGGGAAGTGAGAAAGGAAGAAAACCGTGAAGAAGGAGGATAGGGAGAAAAAAAAGAAGGAAATGTGGGGGGAACAGGGAGTGAATAATAAAAGGAAAAGAGCAAGGAAGAAAACAGGAAGGAAACAAGTGTGGAAAACGAGGAGGAATAATGAAAGAATACAGGGAAAAGACAAGAAAGGAAGGAAAGAGGGAGGGAGGAGAGTGAGCAAGGAAGAAACAGGAAGGAAGCAACGATGGAAGGATGGAAAACAAAGGGTGTGAGAGTGGAAGAAAACAGGGAAGGAGGATAGGTAGGAAAAGAAGTAAGTAATTAAAATGGGGAATAGGAAGGTAAGAGAGGACAGAAAGCAGAGAAGTACGGAGGACAAAGGAAGTTAAACAGGGATAAAAGAAGGACGGAAGGAAAGGAGGAAAACAGATGTATAGGGGAAGAGAGAAAAGAGTCATGGAAAGAGACAAAGGACACAGAGGAGATACAGAAAGGGAGGCAGCTAGAAGGAAACAGACAATGACAAAGGGTTTTGATATAGCAGGAGGAGTGAGAAATGTAGGTGAGAAGGAGTGGACTGAGAGACAGGGGTTGGGGGGGGGGCTGAGAACAGTCACGACTGCCTCTCCATCAGCCTCAGTGTAATTGAGCAGTGTTCACAGTTCGCATTGACCATAATGAATATTTTATCACTGCATTAACACTAACGGGGTGCTTAGCGTCGTCCTGTATGTATGAAGAGAACAGGAAGCAGCTGTCACCACGTCATTCAAACTGTATAATTTACTAAAAGCAGCGGGAGTGATTGTTTTATAAATAATAATCACATACTGTAAACCGTTATATTTCTGTTCATTCACAGTCTATGTACTGATTGTTTTAGGTAGTATTCAGTGATTGGTTCCCCAGCAATACCTCTTGTTACTTGAGTTAAATCTCATTTGCTTATTTAAGTTAAGTAGCAGATGCATCCCATGTGATCACTTGTGCTTTTAAAGCTGCAGTGCGAAACCTTGCAGTCCCCTGGCAGTGAGAGTTAATTACACAAAGACCGTCGATGCAATGCTTATGACATATCCCGACATGTGAGCTAGCACCAGGCTCAAGTTATAGAAATACATAGACACATTTCAAAAGTTCCAAGACAGTAATCCATTATTTAGGTAGAGTAAATGTAATACCTACATAGCCTAGTCCAAATATTTTACAACCTGTCCCACCGTAGGCTCTGCTGTAGCTTACTCCATTGCTCCAGTCGCTCCAGTTGCTCCAGAGCCATGTAGAAAGAAAGTTGCGTCATCTCTGCCCAATTTCAAATCAAATGTCTTTATTGATATGACTGCATAGAAATCAATGTTGCCGCGTATTAACACAAACTATACAATCAAAATTAACAAAATAAACATTCTCTCCAATGGACCTTTTTTTCACAGCAATGGTGGATTGTGTAGCTCTCTATGGCTCTGGGTCTCTACCCCACAGACACCGGATATAAAAACTCCAGTACACTGTGAAATACAGAGAAATTTACCTGCCAGTGAATGTAACGGACATTCATTTATATGTAAAAGTCCCACACACACGCTTTAAACATCATTTTACAAGTAACTGGTAACAGTTGCTGAGCAACAGACGTTAATGTTAATGAAGAAAGGGAATAGAAAAGCTTGTTGTCAGCTCTGTGTATTTGTTTTTAATGTAGAGGGAAAAGAGATGCAAGAAGCACATGAAGCAGAAGTTACAGTTGTCAAAAGCCTTACTGTAATTACAGTGACCTTAAAGGATGGTGGATATGGCAGTGTCCTATTGTTTGCCTTAGTTATAACTCACCCTGGTTAAAAGAAATATAATCAAGTTAAGAATATGGCAACAATTCAAACTAAGAAAACTTTAATTTAATTTAATAAGTTTAAGTGATTTTTTAGAGCAAAAGACTACAAAATTAAAAACCAGTGACTTTTTTTAAATGTTTGATGACTTAATGCCTTTTTAAACATTTGTTACATTATAACTCTTTCATTAACATGAATATAGCTATTAGTTAACCTGCAACCTACAACTTAAAACTTTTCTTTTCTCTATTCTTTGCTTTGTGACTCAGAGGGCAGAGCAAGGTACAGTACAGATCCTCTGCAGATGATAAGGATTCAGTCTAGCTTACATCGTCTGCGGCACAGATGCCTGCTGACATAAGGGCTTGAGCCAAGTCTTGACTAGACAGGTGGTCTACACAACCCGTCTACCATCTCAGAAACGCTCTGATAAATGGAAGATCATCTGAAATGTGTATAAATAAACATGATGCCTTGATCCCTATTCTGACCTACATTGTCCGTGTCTCTCTCTGAGCAGGTAAAGGCGACCTGATTGGGGCGAACCTGTCCTTAGATGACCGAGTAATAAAAACCAATGCAGACGTGAAAGCCCTGACCTACTGTGACCTGCAGTGCATCAACCTGAAGGGGCTGTACGAGGTGTTGGACCTCTACCCTGAATACTCACACCGCTTCGTCCAGGACATCCAGCAGGACCTCACATACAACTTGAAGGAGGGACATGAGACACATGTAAGTCCATTCAAGTAGCATTGATTCCTATATGAGAATGTTGAAGGTGCCGCCGTTTCTGCTGTCTTTACAGTATGACTGAGGTTTTTCACCCAAAAATACACTGTTTTTTAAAAGTCCAAAAGCCCAAAAGATATTATGTTTCATGCTGTAAGAGGACAATGTTCACTGTAGTTTACATTAATGAGATCCTCTTGTGATGTTGACAAAAAAGCCTCCGCTAACAGAAAGTAAAAAGAAAAGTGTGGAGGAAATATAAGTTAGGTGCTAATTATGCACCAGAGTCTCCTGAAGAAAAAAAACAATCAAATGTTTTATTTAAATCACATTTTCAGTTAATGGTTCTATTATTAACTTTTCTTAGTAGATCTTTACCCGAGTTATAATAAAGTATATATTTCCTGATTCTTTTTGTACTGAAAACAAACACCCAGAAATGAATTATCACTGGGAATAACACACAGCAGCACAGCGCATGACAAGCGCTTTATACATGCTTGCCAATTTTGCTGTATAATGAATCAAGGTACTGTCATAACGTGTAAGAATGACTGATGGGTGGAGTGAGAGGAAAGAGGAAGGCAAGAAGGGCTGGAGTTGGGAGGGTGAGAAATGGACTTTGAGGGTGGCTGGAGAACAGGGAAATGCTTTAAAATAAGAAAAGTGTGTGTGTGTGTGTGTGTGTGTGTGTGTGTGTGTGTGTGTGTGAGAGAGAGAGGGAGAGAGAGAGGGAGAGAGAGAAGGAGAGAGGACAAAAATAGCTTTGGCACTTGGAGGAGCTCTGCTGCTGTAATTACAGTCAGGTGTTTCTGCCTCTCCAGCCCAAATACCACTGGTCCACTTACACACACACACACACACACACACACATACTACTACCCGCTGCAGGGCTTTTAGGTGAAGCTAATGTACAGAGGGGCAGCTCGAATCTCAAGACAGAGTAGAGTTAAAATGAAGACGAGGAGGAAGGAGGAAGCTCAGGATGGAGGATGTGTTTGTGGCTGAGAGGTTGAGATTGCAGTCTGGATATTACTGTGCTGTATATGAAAACAGTGCATAGTATCAGTGTGTAAAGGTGAATTATTTTCCATCATTGGATCACCGAAAGCCATTTAGTCAGACATCATATCCTTGAACCCGCTTTGCAAAGTGATTTACGGCTAAGCACTGTGAAATGACTCCTCCGTAATTTAAAACCAAGAAAAGAAAGGCCACATCTTGATTGCTCTTTCCTGCAGTTCATTTATTGTATATTATCTCTCTGGCACTCTTCCAGGTGAAGGCCAGACTGTCCACAACAGCTGTAGATCCTCAGGTAAGAGACCACAGAAACACTGACACAGTCTAAGGGCAGGCGCCATTAACTCAAAAGATGTCGATCCCCTCGCCCTGTTGATTAATACCAGTCCACAATGTTTTAATCAGCCTGCAATAGAAAATAATAAAATGCAAATTAATGCTCATCAGTTTTTCTGTCCCTAAGAAAAGTCTTCAGGGCGACCCGGCAATAGACCTCCAACACTGATAATGGACAGTCACTCAGACTTAATGATTCTGATGGAGAGATTGTTTTTTTCTTCTTGGAGGAAGATCAATTCTGCAAAGAATGAGTTAGCATTCATTAAAGGAGGACTGTTCTTTGAATGTCTCAAATCTGCAAAAATACCACATACATAATAAGCTGTACTGCCATATTTTACAAAAAATCTATTCAGCTGGTGTTGGTTTCTCCTGAGTTGCGTTAGAGGTCACTGATCATGTCACTGTGGACCTTATTTCTGTTATTACCTGATTGTATCCTCATCTTATGGTTGATCAGTGTCTTTGCAATATTGCTCTGCAGACCCTTGACCAAAGATGACAGGGGTCTCTGTGTTTATTAAGACCGATGAGTTCACCAGTGTTGCCTTCATTATTCTACAGGTCACAGTTTGTCTAAAATGTTGATCTGGTGGTTTCTGGTCAACATTGTCACTTCCAATCCAGCTGAGTGGTCTGCTCCTTGAACTTAGAAGTCATCAGTTCATTGAAAACACCTCTGTGTATTTCAGGGTCATGGTAATAACTGTACAAACACAGTTTAGTGTATTCAGCATCTTCAGAGAAAGCAGAAAAAATGAGGATGGCAACATTTGCTGTGACACAAAAACGAGGTATTTAAGCAAATTTGACACCATCAAGGCTGATGCGTCAGATGACTTGATTCAATATGAATAGATTTTAATTTCATGTCAGCTCTGCTTTTTCCATAGTTATTTAATCTCCAAAACTTCTCTTAGTATCCACAGTCAAAGTTTGTTTTTCAAAATTCCAATTAAATCACAGGCGATTGATATTTGTTGCTACATTCCAAGATTCTTTTCATGTATTTTTTATACATAATTTCATTTTATTTGCAGTCCGGAGTGGGAAGGAATGGACGAGTGGTTCAGGGCTATCCGACCATCATCGAGGCACAGGAGGAACATGAGGAAGAGGAAGAAAATGAGGCCATGTCTGTTTCTCTGTCATCTGAGCGGAACTGGACAGAGAACCTCAGGGACGCGGGTGGGAAGTCTCCACTGAGCCGACCGAGCCAGAAGACCACGGGGCAGAGCTCCAGGAGGTCTCGGAGGGAGATCCAGGAAATTACTTTCACCACTTTAGACCCTTCCAACCTGAGCCCCAGGTGAGTTTGATTCCCACCCAATTTTTCTGTATCTGCATGTGTAGACCTGTGTATCTGTGACTCTGTGTTATGCCTGCTTTTGTCATTGTCTAGCACAGTATATGAGGTAAATGAGGACAAGATATTTAGTATAATTATGAGAGGGATTTAAATCAGATACTCCACTTTTGTTTGGATCACTCAAAGGTAAACTGTTGGCCAAACATCCCTCACTTAGGGGTGTACTCATTTTTGATGCCAGTGGTTTAGACATTAATGTCTGTGTGATGTGTTATTTTGAGGGGACAGCAAATTTACATTATTATACAAGTGGTACACTCACTACTTTACTTTGTTACAAAGAGTCATTTCTTCAGTGTTGTCACATGAAAAGATATAATGAAATATTTACAAAAATGCAAGGTGTGTACTCACTTTTGTGAGATACTGTATAACAAGCCGGATGGTCCCTCTCCTCTTTTGCCCCGAGGACGGGGAGTCCATGATTTCCAGACAGAATTTAGACTTTGCCTCAGTCCATCTTAAATGAGCTTGGGCCTACAGAAAGTGGATGTTTCTGGATATGGTTTGTAAATGGTTTCCTCTTCACATGGTAGAGCTTCAGCTTGCATTTGTGGATGCCGTGACGAACATTGTTCACAGACAATGGTTTTTGGAAGTGTTCCAATGTTGTCTTTGTGCTATGCTATTTTCAATTAAATATGGGTTTTCAATGTTTTGCACATAATCACATTTTGTTTTTATTTACATTTTACACAGCGTGCCAACTTTTTTGGAGACTGGGTTGTATAACGTGTTAATTAGGGAGCTTCAGAGGTGTTTGTAGGGAGTTTTTATTTGATTTTAATAGAGCAAGGCTGTTTCTCTTTATTTTCTCTCTGTGTATTTATGATAAGCTAAGCTAAGCGGCTGCAATCTGTAGCTTCATATTTACCGTGTAAACTTCTGAGTAGTACTGATTTTGTCATCTAACTCTTGGCAAAAAAGCCAAAATTATTACGTCATCAGTAACAATCTTTACTTTCCTACACACACACACACACACACACACACACACACACACACACACACTCTTTGCAGGATAGTTGACGGCACTGAAGACAGTGAGGTGACAGAGAGTTCCCTGGCCTTCTCCTTCTCCACCAGCCGAGGCTGTCCTGTCAGTGAACCAGCCAGTGCCTCAGCATCTGCCACAGGTCCTCCAACCCTACAGTATACAGCAATTACCTTTCAAATGCGACTCAATACGCCTTAACTTCCCACATCCTGGGAAGTGAAAAATGTTCACATCCAAATCTTTGCAGTACTGTTGAATAATGCGGCTGATTAATGTGCACTTTCTGCCGATGCCTACAGCATTTATCAGCTGCCTTTATGCCATAACTGCTGGGTTTAAATTTGTAGTTGTTATTCGGCACTTGAAGTGATTTGTAATTTGCTAATTTGTGTCACAGATATGCTGCAGATCAGCACAGCAGAGTTAGCTGCTAAAGCAGAGGAGACCAGACGACAACTGCAACACCTCGACCAGCAGGTAGGACTCTGTGTGTGTGTGTGTGTGTGTGTGTGTGTGATAAGAGAGAGAGAGAGATAGACGGAGAAAGAGACAGACAGGTGGGCTCAGGTAAGCACAAGACATAAGGCTATATCAGCATGTCAGGCACAAGACGGGTAAAAGGATTGGGAGAAGTAATGAAGCAAAGAAAGATGAAAAATAAATAAATAGGTATAAAGAATGTGACAATAAGTGATTAATAATGAGATATTATAGATTAGTAGCATTTTTTAAACTATCTAAAAGCCTACATTAATATGCTTTTATTGAATTTACAATAAACTTGCCTCTGTAGTCTGTAGAAATCATGACCTGTTTCTTTTGTTTTTGTATCACCAGGACTTAGTAGACCTACTGTGCCTTGTCATTCTCATTGTATAGTATCATGTTTGAATGTTTTATAGGCTTTAGTGCTTCATTGTTGTGTTCACACAAACACACACACACAGCCTCTCGTGCTGTATCCTATGGTTTTGATTGGCGGGTGGCTAAATTGACATTAGACATTTGGCAGGTGAGGAGGAGTGTTTGCTTCCTCCTGCTAAGCCTCAGTCTGCATCCTGGGATGAGCAGATAGAGGCAGACAGAAAAAGAGAAACAAATGAGAGGGAAATGTGGAGGAAAGGGGGAATCGGCAAATAGCTTTATGAGAAGAAACAAAAACAAATCAGAGAGGGATTTTAAAAAAGGGAGCGTGAAAGACAAGGGCACAGCACCTTCACATTTATACGTATTGGTCCTGTTGTCTTTTCTTTGTCGCTGTGGGTTACCAGTGTTTGACAGGAAGTCTCTCAGCATGGTGTTTTAGGTTGTTAATCCACACTTGGATCCATCCACACCGATCACCATAGGAGATGAAAAGGAGGCGTTGGTTTTAAACCCTATCTGCTCTCTCCACAAACACAGATACAAATGATAGATGAGGGCATTGTATGTTATTTGGCACATACAGGATACTTCCAGCAGTATTTATTTGCAAAACAAATTGTTATTGTTAGAGACAAAATATAAATGTATTTTTATATGTGATAGCATTAGCCACCTTGGACAGTGTTGAGTCTGTAACATACAAATTTAACGGCCAGTCCTCCCAAGAACTATAATTCACTGCTGTGGTCAGCTCATGCACCCTTTGTCATGAGTGCAGTGCAGTGCAATGAAAATAATCTAATGTTCCTCTTCAGTTTTTTGTTGTTGCATCTCAACTGTAGTTGAAACTTCACCAGAGAACACTTAAACACTAGTGAAAAACAGCTTAACAAAAAGCAGCCTGCATTAGCCCAATTTGTTGGGAAGTTCTCTCAGTCAAAATCAAGAAGCAGGGGCCTTTTAAGACTTGTACCCTTAATGGTGAATAAGAAAGCCTAAACTGCATGTAAACATGAGATGTGGCCATTTGAACAAAAAACTGACAAGCGCAATTTCTTTGCTGATTCTGACCTGAATTACACAAAGGTGGCAGCATTTTAATGAACAACACATTGTGTGAACACATTAATAAACCAGCTCTGCCTTACTCTGTGACCTCTAATCTTTACTCTTTAACCTTCTGCTAAATCTGTGCAACTGAGTGGTTTACTCTAGTGGGAGCTGAATAAGGCATTTATATAGCTAAAGAGAAGTCTAACATGGTAACCTTACTGTGTACCGTGTCATGTAAATCAATCGCCTAGTGCTTGCTCTTGGTGGGAACTGTTGGGCTTCTGTAAATAACATCACAGAGTACGGTCTAGATCTGCTCTTTTATGAAAAGCGCTGTGAGATAACTGTTGTTGTGATTTGGCGCTATATAAATAAAATTGAATTGAATTGAATTGAATGATGAACAGCTTCCAGAGATGCTCACAAGTCATTTTTTGCTAGTCCATGTCAAGTCTAAAGTCTCTTATAGTTGTAATGAGCGTTGCATAGCTATATCTAAGGAATTCAAAGCATGTACTGTATTATAATCACTCCTCTCTATTTGCATACAGTATCAGCATTGATTAGCTTTTGCTATATGATCACTTTAAACAGGCTATATCAATGCAGTATGAAAAAAACAGACAGTGAAAGCTTACCTTTAAAATTAATAACGGTATTTTGCCTTGTAACGTGAACATACAGCTACTATTTAGTATTGTCTAAAAATGGATCCAGACTAAAGTAACTCATGGCAAGAGGACAATATTGCTAACATTATTGGGCATGCAATTATAACCGTTACTTATTTTTCTATAACAGTTAGAACCACACTGTATAATTACAATGGGATTCCAACTGATGACAATTTATAATCTACTATAAATGAACACATCCCTCTAGCCTTTCAAACCCAGTATATAAGCCAGTAATAAGCTTGTAACATTACGTTGTAAGCAATAAACCTGTGACCTGCCTGGAGCTTACATTAATATTTAATGTGGTCTTTCTCTCGGTTTAACATTTAACTGCGGAACGTGGATGATTACGTTACCATTTTTATAGTCATGGCACAGCCAGCATGCAAACAAGTGTGGCAAGCAAACAAACACGCATCTTTTCAAAATATACAGCGAATGCTAATATAATCAAGTTAACCACCCTCAGCTACAAAGCTAACATGTTTGCACACTGTCCAGGTGACTCACCAACAGGTGCATTTCATAAAATTTGAATATAGTGAGAAAGTTCATTTATTTCTATCATTTTATTTTCATAAATTCTAGATTCATTACACATAAAGTGATATATGTCAGCATTTTTTTTGTTTCAATCTTGACTGTTATGGCTTTACTGCTCATGGAAATCAAAAATCCATATCTCAAAATAGAAAATTAGAATATTAGAATAAAGAATGTATGAAACAGAAATGTTTACCTGAGAAGAGGCTTTAATCTCCCCATCTGGTTCAATACACACAACCACAATCATGGAGAGGATGTCTGACTTGACAGTTCTCCAGAAGACACTCATTGACACAAGCAGGGTAAGCCACAGAAGGTCATTTTTTAAAGGGTGGCTGTTCACAGAGTGCTGCGTGTGGCAGGAAAAGATGCACAAGCAACAGGGATGACCGCAGCCTTGAGAGGATTGCCAAGAAAAGTTGATTCAAGAACTCGGGGGAGCTTCACAAGAAATAGAGTGAGGCTGGAGTCAGTGCATCAAGACGGGTCCAGGAAATGAGCTCCAAATGTCGTATTGCTAGTGTCAAGCTGAATCACTGAACCAGAGACAACGTCAGAAGTGTCTTACCTGGGCTAAGGAGAAACCAAACTGGACTGGTGCTCAGTGGTCCAAAGTCCTCTTTTCAGATGAAATTAAATTCTGCATTTAATTTTGGAAATCAAGGTCCCACAGTCTGGAGGACAAGTGGAGAGGCACAGAATCTAAGTGGCTTGAAGTCCAGTGTGAAGTTTCAACAATCAGTGACGATTTGGGGTGCCATGTCATCTGCTGGTGTTGGTCTACTGTGTTTTATCAAGTCTAGAGCCAATGCAGCCGTCTACCCGGAGATTTAAGAGCTCGTCATGCTTCCGTCTGCTGACAAACATTATGGAGATGTTGGTTTCCATTTCCAGCAGGAATTGGTACCTGCCCACAGTGCCAAACGACTGGTAACCGGTTTGCTGACCATGGTATTACTGTGCTTGGTTGCCCAGCCAACTCACCTGACCTGAACCCCTGACCTGAACCCAGAATCTATGGGGTATTGTCAAGAGGAAAGTGAGAGACACCAGACCCAACAATACAGATGAGCTGAAGGCTCCTATCAAAGCAACCTGGGCTTCCATAACACCTCAGCAGAGCCACTGGCTACTTGCCTCCATGCCACACCGCATTGATTCTGTGACACCGCAGTTATTCGTGCAAAATGAGCCCCAACCAAGTGCTGAGTGCAAAAAGGGGAGGGGGGGGTCAACATTTCTGTACTATAAATTCCTTATAAATATACATTATACATACTGTATATATTTTGAGGTATGGATTTTTGATGGGCTCTAAGCTGTAATCATCTAGATTAAAACAAGAAATATTTCACTTTATGTGTAATGAATCTAGAATATATGAAAGTTTCACTTTTTGAATAAAATCATGATGATATTCTAATTTTATGAGATGCACCTGTGTCTGGTTGCGTTTTCAGGTGCCTGATGTGGTCCACCCAGCATCCTTTACCTTGATACTGCAGACTTTAGCGATTCCTTTGGTTAGGGCCTTGTGTGAAGTTATTATAGCCAAAGGTTATGACAAATGGCACAGCAGCTGCAGGGGTGCTCGCCATGGTGTTGTTGCTGCAGCTTTAAAGTCATGATGACTGAGTCATCTGTGGCTGCCCACACCAGATGCTTAAGGTTAAGCATTATAATAAGGGAGGCAATGACATTCAGCTCATCTGACATTTCCTTTAAACTGTTAATGCACCAAAGAATTAAAATAAAGATTGTTCACGATTTCCAAATCTCGAGTTAAAGTTGACTCTCAAGTCTTTTGAGGAGTCTCAATTCAAGTATCAAGTCACTGTGTGTGCCCATGAGTGAGTCCCCATCTCTTTCAGCTACACAGGAGAGCTGGAAGAATGAGAGCTTTGCCTGCACAGTCCTTGTAATTGCAGAATTCGAATTTCAAGTTCTTCCATCTCCCTGTTGAATTTTTCTACTTCCTGTGGGCTGTCCTTAAAAGGCCATCTTTTTACAGTACATAGACTTTAAAGCAGCAATAATATAACAAGCAACGTTTAAGTGTTATCTATTTAACATAACACACAGTGGGTAACATATGCATTTATTTTGATTCATGTTAGTGGTCACATGACAAATGTATCTCCAATATTCCCTCTCCCTTTAGCTCTGTTTTGGTCTTCTTGGTTGGTGGAACATGCAGGATGTAATTTAGGCCCGAGTCACTAAAGATAAAATAATCTTTAAAAAAAGAAAAAAAAGAATTATAACTGATTATGAATCCATTGTCGTAGTTTCATTTAATCTGGCTCATATGTTTTATAACTCATGTTAAGTTAGTATAAGCTTTGTAATACATAACGATCGTATCACTGATTGTTTATTGGGCTTAACATTCACCTGTAGCTCCAGTGGGTTCTGGTCATCCATGGCTGCTGTTTTGTTTGACCATCTCCACGGACAGTTAGCAGTGGAAGGAGTGGAATCATGTTGACAGCGTGTCCGATTGGACTGTCCTGTCGCTCTCAGCTTTCTATTTTTATCAGAGCCAGAGTTTAGACCCAGGCTTTTATCAGCCACTCCAGAGATGGGAGAATTGTGAAAGAGGGATAGTAGAGAGAATATTTAACTCTATTAAAACTACTATGAGGGAATAATTCACATTTTCGAATTCACAAATGCATGAATTTATAGTATGTATGTCTTGCAAAGTTTGTCCATGTATCTGAGAAAGGAAGAGGGAGCCCCTAGCCTTACTAATGCACAGAGCCTGATCACCTCTTGACATATTCACACAGCGACTGGAGCTGTGTGTCCTGCTGAGGGCTGATGTGCATCCAGTAGCACTGATGTGCATGACTGGCCTGATGAATGGTCATGAGTGCTATGACTGGCAGAAGCAGATGGCACATTGGCAGGGCTTCGTGGTTGTGCCCTCTGTGGACATGTCACATGCAGAGAGCAACTAATCACCAGCCCCTCCCCCTCAGCATCAGTGTAATGACCAATTATAGCAACACGATGTTACATGTAAAACAGCAGGCAGGAGGAGAGAAAAATATTTTGACCCAAAATGACTGACCTGAAAATACCAAATTCTTAATTATGTACTGTACATCCTGGGGCTTTTTGTTCCTGGAGATTAGAAAGTGTTTCCTCAAAAGTGTTATTCTAACCAGAAAAGTCTATATGGCAGTGGTGGGGTGGTAAAGCACCATATACTAAGGCTAAAGTCCTTATGGCAGCTGCCTTCAGCTTCTTTGCTGTACGTCATCCTCTGTCTTTCCCACATTTCAACACTTCCTTCTCTTCAGCTGTACTATCAGAAATAAAGGCAAAACTCCCCCCCCACCCCAAAACAATATGGCACTGGTTTGAATACCGGAGGTGGTGACATAATCAAATGGCTAAAGAAACGAGAGGCATACTGGATTTACAAGCTAAAGAATTGGTCACAAATAATTGCAAACATGATTCTATTTCAGACTGCACATGGTTTGAGTAGTTTTCCACAACAGCAGGAGATAGTAAAGTTGGCTATCTTGCTAAGGAGTTGGAGGAGCCGGTCATCTAACAGTTCACTTGGTTGCTCCTCCTTCTTCCATTACTCCCTTGGTAAATGACTGCATTTACATAGTGCTTTTATCCAAACAGCTTTACAATTTGCCTCTCAATTTACTCACACGCTCACACAATGATGGCAGAGAGCAAACCATGCTAGGTGCTGACGCATTGATAATCAATGATCATGGTTAGTGGGAACCGCAGAGACAAGCGAATGTGGCTGCTTCACAATAAAAGCAGTAACTTAAAACAGCTCTTATGGGCCTTTCAGATACAAAGTCATTTGCGTTACGCTGGCTACTGGGTTCAGAGCAAAAGGTGGAGCTTTCAGTCAGCAACAAATATGTATTTGTCCCCTGCTTTGAAGCTAGTGCAGTTCACTAGGCTACATTAAAAAGCATGAGTGTACTGAGGAGCTTCCATTCAACAAAGTAGTGAAGTAGAGGGGGCACAAATGGGTTTTAACGCAGGTGATGCTGCCTGTGTCCATTTCACATAACAAATGCTAAGCTATGTTTATGCATATTGCTACAACAAACTACCTGACTCCTGATGTCCCCTATTTACTGGCCATGCGGGTATTTGCACTTTGGTCGACACAACAACAAACTGTCCTGGTGTTGCGCCATTAAAAATACTGGGTTTCAAAGTGCAACAGTGCTGTTGTATCTGAAGGGGCCATTGTAAAGAGAGCAAACAATAAACAATGAGGCTGTTGTCAATTAGATCAAATTGTGCTGGATTACACGCATGCATCATTGCCTGTGAACCTCTCGCACATGGTAGGCAAACTAAATCCATTGCAGGATTTACAACTCCTACAACTTGATTTCATGAAAATCTTAAGGTTTATAACTTTAAATGCTATTTATTTTTAATCATGCATTTGAGTGCCTGGAATTGGATTTTTATGCCACACCCCACCCATGGATGAGGCACTTTCTTCCTCTTTAAAACTAAAGATGGTTTGTGTTTATGTCTGCAGGTGAGCAACCTTGGGAGGGAAGTGGCCGACCTTGGACGAGTCATGAAGAGAATGGCCCAACTTATGGAGACCATCATATCACCAATGCCTCAACCTACAATAGTCTGCCCCACACACTACTCCCCAGCACACCACACTTGCCAGCCCCATCCTAACCCTCCTCAGTCTTACCCTTTACTAACCTCTTCTCAGACTGCCTCCATCTGCATAGACACGCCCATGTCATTGCCATCTTCTCCCCTCACTATCCCACAGCAACACGGTGCAATATTCCATAAGGACTCCCTCACACATAGACCCCAGGATGTCCAGCTGGCGTACCCTACTATCCCGAGCTCAACTTTACCTCCAACTCCCAACTCGTCTGCCCTTCAACTACAGCCCATCATCACTGAGCCTCACCTGCCTTCCTCACCCCTCAGCTCACCTGAGATTTCCCACTACAAAGACGAGCTTTCTGGCTCCATCAGGTCAAAGGTACATAGTCCACCTACGCAAGACGTGGGAGATGATAGCCCTCATCAGAGCTCTGGGTGTTCTCCACAAACTGGACTTGGTGGGACCTACCACAACCCAACCAAGGGTTTGTAGCAGCCCTCCATCTGAACTTTCCTGGACTCTGCAGAACTTTTTTCCAGAATATCTTTTGGGATATGTTCCCGAACTAAAGATCAAACTGATCAACTGGGGGTTCCCCATATCATAGGAGGATGTTTGCAGGGATGCAACCCAGATTCCTTTTGTTTTAAAGGCACGTGTTTAAGAATCATGTTGCATGAAAACAAGTCCAGAAGGTTTAGGTGTGTTAGCTTTACCTTATAGAAATGTAGTTTTGTTAGACAGGATGTAGAGATTTTGGTCATATGTGGAACTGTGTGATGGCAGCTCTCTGAGTACAGCTAAACACCCCACCCCCCACCACCTTGAGGACGCAGCATGCCATAATGGGGGACAAAACGGATATGGAGGAGAGAGTTCTTTCTGTCCTCTCTTTTTTTGCTGGTTTCAGGTCGACTGGGCTGGTCAGATGAAGACAAAGCATCATGAGTGATGGAGGTGGGCTTTAGAGACAAAGATGGGAGGGGTATGTGCAGTTAATGTTTCCTTCCCCCCAACGCTTCTTTCCTTGCTCACTCAACCTGTGCCTGATGCTCTGGATTGCATGGACCAGTGCGTGGCTGGTGGAACCAGGAGCACAGAATGTTGTGAGGAGAGACATGGGACGCATTGTGCTCTTTACCACCGGCCCTCAGGGAACAGGGGTGGAGGAAGTTGGTTAAGGAGGTGGTTGTGGGGGGGTTGTCATGCCTCGGGCAGCAGAGCCCCTGCTGTCGCCTGTCACACTGAGCACAGGGACCCTTTCTCCTTCTCTTTTCCAGTAGTTCTCTCCATTCACCTACCACTCTCTCTCTCTCCCTCCTTCTTTCCTCTTTCTCTTGCTCTCTGCATGCCTTTCCGAGCCTTTTGAGTAGTGCCTGTAGACAGACATTAACATGCTGCATGTCACCCTGTGGAACTCCAGCTTGCCATTTATCTATCTATTTAAAGGAAACACGGTTCAGTCTTTTAATAGCTGATCCTGGCATTTACTGATGCATATTTATTGGACGTTGAATAAGTTTAAACAACTGGGTAATTTTAGGCACAAGGTAGTCACCCATTTTGTGAAGTGGTCTGGAGCAAACTGCCGATACTAAAGTGGTTCATGACCCACAATGGAGGCCATTTCCTTGATCATCACCCAGGGTTATCAGCTCTGAGATCCAGTTTCTCAGCTGTTCAGAGCGAAGGCAATATTCCCACATAAAAGCACAATAAGGAAATAAAGACGCTTTTATATTTCTATGAATGTATCAATACTAAAGATGTATTTTTTTACCTCAAAGAATGCAGGAGTGTGGGATAGCAGTAAATGATGCCACTGTATATGACGTTATGGCAGTTCTGTTTGCTGGTACCAGCCAATGCAATCTTAAACCAGGAAAAAGGTCCTAATGCTCGTCCCGACAGATCTACTCTTTTCTTTTGAATTCATGTAGACTTGACTCTGCTTCTGCAAATGGAATGTACTGTAATCAAATTTTCCCTTAACATTTTGATATTTATTAGATAAAAAAACTGTTATGCTAATAAACGACAAATATGACTGTTATGTCCTTGCTTTTGTGTTTGTTCAGTGTTCGCAGAAACATTCAATAAAGCAGGAAAGATGTCAGTAGTAGTCATTACATCAAGAAAATTTACCTTTTTCTCTTTTTCGAATACAAATATAGTATATTTCTGAACACACATGTACAATACAATAATTAATGGCTGTCAAAGGCCTTAATTTAGATCTTATAAAATGTATTTCTGGATCAGTTTCATGGACATGGCTAAAATAGAAAACAGTTGCCTCTTGATGAGTTAACTCAAAGCCTACTTATCTAGTAAAATGAATTACATTTTTGTGCGTAGATTTTTACAATTACCTTGCTGACATTCAGATAAATGAATGGGTGAATAATACATAACATCCTTGGATAATAGCTAAAGCAGGTATAAATTACGCTATGTGACATAAAAATTTAAGTCTCCAGCCATTCTAGAAGCTCTGTGAGGCTGTACTTCAGCATTGTGGTGTTTTCAGCTAAACGCTACCAACAGCATGTAAACAATTACAATTTCAACATGCTGATGTTTAGCAGGTATAATGGTTACCTAACAGCTTAGGTGTTCATGGAAATGACATTTATAAAAGTATTTGGTCATAAACCAAAGTGGATAAACAAAAAATTGGGGATGATGGTAGAGGAACAGTTTATGGATCCCAAAGTTATTACAATGCATGCTGAGGGGGGCAAGGATGTGTGTGCAGAATTTTATGGAAATCCATCCAGTAGCTATTAAGATGTTTCAGTCTGGACCAAAGTGGTGAACCGACAGACCGACAGACTAACAGACTGACTTTGCCATCCATAGAGCCTGCTAGTTTGGCTAAACACACGCAGATCATCATCAGCATAATTCATTTTTAGACATTGCACAAAAGCACAGAGACATCTTTAAGCATCTAAGACTGGTGCAGACTTTGTGTATGACAAGCTTGTTCCACAGTAACACTAAGACAGACTTATATTTATTCCATTGATTTGCAACTGACATGTTGCTGAGTTGTTCTTGGACTCTTCATACACTAACACAAAAATACACAAACACACAAAGTTAATAATGCCACATCTCCATCATGCAAGACTGTTGCTTTTCCACACACTGTTGATTATAGTAGTGTGTATTTGCTTTGTGTTTGTGCGTGTGTGCGCGTGTGTGTGTTTGTCTTTTGTAAGCTGCTGCTACGGTTCATCTGAGGTGAAAGCGCGCCATTCGTCATATCCCACTGGTGACGTGGGCGGGGTTGAAAAGTGAGTAAGCATGCGTGCTAAGGATTACATTGACACATCTACCAGAGGTCCAGCTGCTCTCACCTGGTGAGGTGCTGCTCCACTGTGCATATTGTCTGTTTGGAAGTGAAGCAGGGGGAATCAGATCTGTTTGAATTAGATACATGTGTTCAGCAGGGATGCAGGTGAGGTATACTTTATAGTATAACCATGTAAATGTGTGTGTGTGTGTGTGTGTGTGTGTGTGTGTGTGTGCTTGTGTGTATGTTATGAATGCATGCATGTGTAAATAATTTTCGAGGGGGATAATGTGAGTGCAGATTAGGATATGTGTAGTCAAAATACTCCCCACTTATTACTTATATTTTAAAAGGTATTTTGTATAAAGAACTGGAAATACTGACAAGTCATCATTACCAACTAGTTTTGCAACACTTCTGCTGTGACAGAGATCTGCAATCTCAATAGCTAGTCAGCCTACATACTGACAGTTGGTAGTAGCATCCAGTTGCAGATGTAGCACTCAGTGATTTTAAGCAGGTTTAGTATTCTGTCACATGATACAAACTTCATGCCCACTCCTCTCCCGTGGGTTTTCCCAGGAAATTTGGCCCTGCCCTAGTTGACAGCATGTCGAGGCGTCTCTCTGCTGCTGCCACTTGCCTGCCAAAGACTGCCACTCCCCTTTCTGTGAACAGTGTATCACTAGCGTTACCACCCTGGTCACAAACTGTCTACAGCTCACAGAGCTGCTCCACTTGATTACTACATCAGATGGGCAAAACTTTTTCTAATATAAGTGATCAAGGCAAGGGAACTTTATTTACATAACACATTTCATGGTAAATTCATAGTAAATATACTGACATAGCAGTGTGATGTTGTGTAATGTTTTTACAATGATCTGAATCTGATCCAAATCTTTCATCAGTATCCTATATTTCGCAACAATCGGAAAGGAACAAAGCAATAAGATAATAACTTCAGTATAGCTACTGAGGCACACAGACACATCTTCACACACATTTGCAGATTTTTGCCACTACAGAAGTATAGTAAAAATCACATCTCAGAATCTGAATCAAAATCAGAATCAGCTTTATTGCCAGGTATATGTACACATACGAGGAATGTGACTCAGGATTGTACATTACTCACAATGTGCTTACTCATACAATAATAAAATAACACTATAATAAAATCAAACACAGGCTAACTTAGAGTATAGAGAACACCAATCTACACACATCTGGGACAGATCTGCTCTCTGTCCCCAGAGTCAAAACTAAACATGGAGAAGCAGCGTTCAGTTTTTATGCTCCATATATCTGAAACAAACTCCCAGAAAACTGCAGGTCTGCTGAAACTGTCAGTCCTTTTAAATCAAGACTGAAGACTTTTCTTTTTACCACCAATTCAATCAAATGTAAGGCTGTAGATTAACTGTGACTTTTGCTGTCCTGTTTTACCCTGTTTTTCCTATTTAACTCTTTAAAATGTATTTTATCGAGTTTTTCTATTTCACCCTTTTAAAAATTTTAATGTGTTTTTGTCAATTTCCTTTTGCTTTTATGTTTTATGTAAAGCACTTTAAATTGCCTTGTTGTTGAAATGTGCTATAAAAATAAACTTGCCTTGCCTATAAACAAAAACAAAAATAAAAAAGACAGATTGACAAATAGTGCAGTGAGCAGAGTGGAAAGGATGCAGGAGTAACAAGTAACAATCAGCCTACATCAGAATCAGAATCTAATACTTTATTGATCCCCAAGGGTAAATTCTTTGTCACAATTGCACACTTATATCACAAATATAAAGGATTGTGGGTATGTACAATATACACATTATTAAGAATTATTATGGTGAACCAAAAAGTACTAGTGAATAAATAGCAGCAGAGAATATTGCACATTGATTATTAAACGGGTAATATTGCATAGAAAATAGATAAGGTCTAGTTTAATAACTGACTAAGTGTCAGACACTTAAAGGGAGGAGTTATAAAGTTTGATGGCCACAGGCAGGAACAACTTCCTGTGGCACTCTGTGGTGCATTTTGGGGGAATGAGTCTTGCACTGAAAGTGCTCCTGTGTTTGAGCAGCACGTCATGGAGTGAGTGGGAGACATTGTCCAAGATGACATGTAGTTTGGACAGCATCCTCCTCTCTGACACCACCAACAGAGAGTCCAGCTCCACCCCCACAACGTCACTGGCCTTGCAGATCAGTTTGTTGAACCTGCTGGCGTCCGCTACCTTCAACCTGCTGCCCCACCATGCAACAACAAACAGGATAGCACTGGCCACCACAGACTCATAAAACATCCTCAGCATCGTCCTGCAGATGTTGAAGGACCTCAGCTTCCTCAGAAAATAGAGACGGATTTGACCCTTCCTGTAGAGGCCTTGAGTGTTCTTGGCCCAGTCCAGTTTATTGTCAATATGTACTCCCAGATATTTGTAATCCTCCACAATGTCCACACTGACCCCCTGGATGGAAACAGGGGTCACTGGTGCCTTGGTTCTCCTTAGAGCCACAACCAGCTCCTTAGTCTTTGTCACGTTGAGCTGTAGGTGGTTCTGCTCGCACCATGTGACAAAGTCCCCCACCACAGCTCTGTACTCAGTCTCGTCACCCTTGCTGATACATCCAACCACAGCAGAGTCATCAGAAAACTTCTGAAGATGGCAAGACTCTGTGTGGTAGTTGAAGTCTGTGGTGTAGATGGTGAAGAGGAAGGGAGAGAGGACAGTCCCCTGTGTTGCTGACCACGCTGTCTGATACACAGTGTTGCAGGCACACATACTGTGGTCTGCCAGTCAGGTAGTCAACAATCCAGGACATGAGGGGGGCATCCACCTGCATCGCTGTCAGCTTCTCACCCAGCAGGGCTGGCACAGAAAGCACTGGAGAAGTCAAAAACATGACCCTCACAGTGCTCGCCGGCTTATCCAGGTGGGCGTAGGTGTGGTTGAGCAGGAAGATAATGGCGTCCTCAACTCCCAGTCGGGGCTGGAGTGGGTCCAGGAGAGGTCTGACCATGGGCCGCAGCTGATCCAGAACCAGTCTCTCCAGGGTCTTCATGATGTGCGAGGTCAGTGCCACAGGTCTGTAGTCCTTGGAGCCACTGGGACGTGGCGTCTTTGGCACAGGCATGAGGCAAGATGTCTTCCACAGCACAGGGACCCTTTGGAGACTCAGGCTCAGGTTGAAGACATGGTGAAGGACTCCACATAGCTGGGGGGCACAGGCTTTGAGCACCCCGGGACGGACACCATCAGGGCCTGCAGCCTTGTTGGAGTGGAGTCTCCTCAGCTGTCTTCTCACCTGGTCAGCAATGAGGCACACAGAGGCTACATGTGGGGGAGGGGGAGAGGAGGAGTCGTCAGGCGGGAGAGAGCTGATAACCTGAGAGCCAGAGGAGGGGGGGGTTGGGGTCTCACAGGAAGGTGGGGGACAATGAGGAGGAGGGGGGGGGGAGTAGTGGGGTTGGAGCATAGACTGTATATAAAAATGGACGTAGCGTCCGTGACGTCACCCGTTGGTTTCTGAAGAGCCGTTTTGAAGCTCAAAATTAGCGGAGCTGGCCGGCGCCATCTTGGCAGCGCGTGTCACTTCCGGATAACCAAAAATGGACGGGTCGTGGGTGGAGCTGAGGTGACGTGTTGCTGAAACCACTCCCGCCTAGCTCAATGTGACCGAGTTAGCTCATGCTAAGGAGCTAATGCTACATGCTACTCTGCGGTGCTGTATGGTGGAGGTTGGAACCTGT